TAACCACACTTGCATGAATTATGATCAAAATACCCTCTACAAACCGCTACTAACCACACTAATGTTAGTTTGGGGAAAAAGAAATCCATTATTTTTATATGAACTTCAGGACTTTATTTTACATGCTTCGGATTGTCCGATTTGGCTCAAATATGCACCGTTTTGTTGTACGATTTGTTGCTATTTTAAAGGTAACTTTAAAATGCCTCTCTCATAGAAGTCCTGGTCCCTATTTGTAAAAAACTCTAGTAGTCGATTTTCACAATCCTCCCTAGATTCCAATTTTTTATCATTAAAGAAATTTTGCAATGCAAGAAAAAGATGATAATCGCTTGGTGCCAAGTCCGGACTGTATGGCGGATGCATTAAAACTTCCCAACCAAACTCCCGAAGTTTCTGGCGAGTCACTGTAGACGTGTGGCCTAGCGTTGTCCTGGTGGCACACGACATCTCTCCTGTTGGCCAATTCTGGCCGTTTCTGGCCAACCGCTATCTTCAAACGGTCCAGTTGTTGATAGTAGACATCAAAATTTAGCGTTTGGCCATATGGAAGCAACTCATAATAAATAATCCCCTTCCAGTCCCACCAAATGCATAGCAAAACCTTCCTGGCCGTTTGAGGTGCTTCACCGCTCTTTGACCACGATCGTTTTCGCACAGGGTTATCGTATGTGATCCATTTCTCATCTCCAGTCACCATCCGTTTAAGAAATGGGCCTATCTCATTCCGTTTGGCCAAGGCTTCGCAGATGGAAATTCGATCCATCATGTTTTTTTCTGTTAATTGGTGTGGCACCCAAACATCGAGCTTCTTTTTGAATCCAGCTTTGTGTAAATGGTTTAAAAGTGTTTTATGGTCGACTTTTAGCTCCTGGGCGATGTTACGACTGCTAACATGCGGGTCAACTTCGTTCATTTCTCCGATTTTATCGACATTTTCTACGACCGGCCTACCTGTGCGAGGTGCATCTTTAACATCAAAAATTTCTGAACGGAATCTACGAAACCAAAATTGCACATAATTGGCTGTTACAGTATCGGAACCATAAACACCATTCACAATTTTAGCCGCCTGGCTTGCATTTTCGCCTTTGTCAAAGAAAAACTGTAAAATGTACCGAATTTTCTCTTTGTTCACTTTCATATTTAACACGCTGTAACTCACAACTGAATGCACCAAACAAAAAGCAGCAAAAGAATTTTTTTTATTGCGAAATGTACAGTATGTAAATGTACAGTATCGGAAATTGTTTGATCGATACTTTACGAGAAATCTATCAGTGCAGCCATCTACCGAAAAAATAATGGATTTCTTTTTCCCCAAACTAATATATTCTACAAACCACTACTAACCACACTTGCATGAATTATAATAATTATGCTAAAAATGAAGAAAAGAGACGGCATGCAGGGAAACAGACTTGAGTTAATATTCAAAATCGCTCTTTCTCAAATCTCAAATGCCTGAACATTGTTGAAAAATTGATTTATCTCAGTAATGGGCATGTAAATTTAATCGATGGAAACTATGTTTACCAACGATGAAAAACTAACGAATTGCTTTATCCAATTAGTTGTAGAAAACCTGATGAAAAGAGGAAAAGGGATGATAAGAACATACAGGTAAGGTAGCCTGCTTGCCACTAAGATTAGATTCAAAACATTCCCGTTAGCAAAGTTCTCTAATATGTAATACTAAAAAGTGGAAAAGATTTGGTTTTGATTTATGTTTTTGTCATCTGTAAGATGTAATCAAAAATTTTTCAATAATATTCCAACCATTAAATAACTGTCTGTCTGGCAAAGTGCACCTACATATCTCACATTATGTAGTCGGAAAACATACCATCCCTGATGGAAAGCTGTTCTTAAGAGCATTTACGAGCATTACGGCTTTAAGAGCACCAAAGCTCTTGGTGTCTGATCACTGCAGTGAAAAATTGTCAAAGTAATATTTTCATCTAAGGTAGGACTTTGAAACAATTTAGTTTATAGTTGAGGCTGGCATGTTTATTGAAGTTTTCTGTTTTCGTTTTTTAAATTCACAATGAGTACAATAATAAAAAGAGACCTTTATGATTAATTCTTCCATACATCACCACTAAGCTATTGTTGATCGTCGCGAAGGATCAACTTTTAACAAAAGTTTCTATTGGATAAATTGGTCTTATCGTCCAAGTAAACACAAGGAAGACACAGATTAAAAGCGTTTTAAAAAAAGTTTCTGCCTTAAAAAAAAAAAAGATTTTTTTTTTAAATTTATTTTTCTCCATATAAACCTGTACGATTCTTCCAGTAACGCTGGGACTCGATTTAATTCATTCTGGGACTCGATTTAATAGAATACAATATTACCTTTTTTTGCATAGGAATTAGCAACAAAGCGAACTTATAGTTTAAGGAATAAGAAAAAAGTTGTTTTTGTTTAGCTTTGATTAGCCAAAGGGGCAGTCACACAGTTCTAATTGCAATTCGTACATTTTTGCAATGACAACCGCTGAGGTCTGGGCCGACTAATATTATACATTTATGGCCTAATGGTGATATTCGATGTTTTAGACAATGCCAGCTTGGTCTTAACATTGTGCTAATCCCATTCTTTTCGACTTCGAAATTCTTCTTACTGCAGGCAGTGGCATTACTCAACTTACAAGTAGACATGCATCCTTAATATACTAACAGCCGTTCTTGGCTATTGTACACATACTTGTGATGTCAACCATCTTATCATTTTGTTTTTATATCAAAAGCCCATGACCTGCTACAGGCGTAGTCATTCGATTGTTACGTTACCGACGCTACCTATACCCACGCATATGCTTACGCCTCTCAATCTTGCTTTCATGGCTAACGTTTCTATTTGCGTACGAAAAATTTGCCGAAACAATTGTTATCAAAAAGACAATGAAACCACTAGCAACTTATAAAAATGGCCCGCACAGATCGCATTAGCGATTGGCGCCCATGTAAAATAAGGATTTTTTTTCTAAATTTGGGAGCTTTCTCGCAAACTTCAGCTTTCAAATTTTCAAATAATGCCGCATGGAATGCTCCTTAAATGGCCTTTAGTTTTCGAGATAATCGATTAAAATAACTCTTTGGCTGTCTCGGAAAGCAATCGCCACCCTTTTCCCAGCCAAAGAAGGAGCAGATTTTAGAGCAAATTCTCCTTTCGCAATCGATCGTTTTGATTGCCTTTGTTTCTGGAGGCTGTTGGTGTGCTTAAGTTTCATCTACAGGAAATAGTCAGCCCCAAAACCATTACCATTGGCAGCTCCAACGAGTGAATAAAGCAAACTCTTCATTCAATATGCGACAAGTTCTTTGGATATGTTCATAGCTCTCTGCTCTAGCTCTCTGCTTTAACATTAAATTTATGTTTTTATCAACGGTTACTCAGCGTTCACGTCGACTCACCCAAAAACTCTGGTTCCAAAATGGCTGAAATTCTGTTGGGTACGGCGACGCCTTACTTTGGGGGCAAGTGCTGCGCGACTAAATCTGAAGACACGAAAAGTGGTATTCGTTTTTAACATTTGTTATTGATCAATCTTTACCGTTACAAATAATGTTGTTTTGCATTTTTTTTGATTGTGAATCAAGCGTTGAGAATTTCTTATCTATCAGAAAATTCGTTGATTTCTATTTATAAATCTATTATTAGAAGCGGTAAGCTTAACAATTTATACTTGAATTTTATTTTATGAATTTGACTGACACTCATTCATACATTCTCATTGTGCACACTATTGTCTACTAAAATACCCTTCTATACATAAGCCCTTAACGGGCTTGCGAATTGTATACTGTACTATGTATAAAGTAAATAAATAATTGTTAAGAAGAATTGAGGAATGACAAACAACATAAGGTGAACATCTTTATACAAATATAATTCATAAAAATATATGTAACAACTTTTTCTTGTATAAAAAAGATAGTTTCATTCAAGTAACACGCATAAAACAAAGTAATATAACAACAGACCAACAACAATGCTCTTTAAGTAGCACTTTTAGATTTTCCTGTTCTCTTAAACCTCATTTGCTCTTTCGCTTTCCCTAAGCGATTCTTATTTTAAATTTATATAAAATAAACATTGCGGTAGTAGTTAAGAACATATAAACCATTAAAATAAATATGCTTTCCGCGTCATTTCTTTCTTCTGGCTTTAAATATATGTTTACAGCACCAGTCAAGAGATTTGCAATCAAGAAGAAAGTTAAACCGTTATAGTTTACTGCTTGCATTATTAAAGGAACTCTTGTATGCATATGATTACTTAAAATACAACAACTGTCGCGATCACTGTGTTCTGCCATCTTGGGTGAACTCGGCCATAGTGTATCCAAAGCTAGGTCAAATACCACAATATATAAAAAACTCATACCAGCGGCTATATTCAGTATCCAAACGACGTAACCAACATTGCAAGTAACCCTCGCTATACCAACCGACGTTACACTTAGAACGACCAAAAAGCTGGTGACACAAATTCCAATTATTAACGATTTGAGTATTTTCTTAAGGTCCGAAAATGTAAGGGTCTCTCTGATTTGAAAATGTTTACCAAAATGAACAGAAACAATATAAAGAGCAACAAATCCAGGTAACGAGCACAAACCTTCACGATTGGCTGTCGCAAATGTATCACGTGATATATTCGAATCCATGACAAATAATTGCAAACCACTTTGTAAGGCGACTTCATGTATGCCAAGTACAACTGAAAAAAATAGAAGGCTTATGAAAAATCTAAAATTTGCATATATGTAGATTTCAGTTTCACTACTCACACAGTCCAAGAGCCAATAACTGGCCGTCAGATTTAGCTACTGCAGATAAAAAAGTGCCAATAAGTTTTGTAAAACCTAAAGTAAAGAAAGCGTTCCAATGAACACCGTATTCACGTTCATCCTGCCGGTAGTCAATAAATGCTAGTACCGTAGTTCTGAGTAGGCCCAATGTAAGTATGCAACCCACCGGGAGCAGGAGTCTGTTCAATTGCGAGGATTTTTGGAGCCTTTGAGATACTATACCCATTGAGAATACAAATAATCCAATACCGGTATCCATAAGACTGGCCCCATAACGATGTGTTTTTCGAAAAAATTTCGGAAAATTCTCAAAATCTATCGCTAGTATACAAAGCACTGTTAAATAACTGATAGTGGCGCGTAACAGAGTAAATACTTGCGGCCTACGCCCAAATTCAAACTCTCTGCCCATTACATATTGATCACATTTCTTCCACCATATTAATGCACAAAATAAAACAACCGCTAAGCAGCCAAAATATTCTACATAAGCATTCGCTATATTAACGCTAATCACCGACGGCAAAGTTATCAAAATGAATTCTATGAAAAACTTTAACCAATGTCTACATCTCAGCATTGATGACATCTTTTGCGTTATAATACGAGACATGGCGGCAGCTATTAGAGTTACAACAACCGTGCAAAATATATGGCATAATTTAATCAGAACAGCCTGCTTCGATGTATGATCAAGGAGCATTTCTGTATCCACTTTATAACATCGGCCTCCTCCTGACGCCACTTGCCTACAGGCCAATAGTTGTGCCAATATCGAAAGACAATGTTGTTCTGATTCGTAAGCATTGCAGTATGTATTAAACGCATTGCTATCACCTTCCGTGGAACTGCTCGAAACTGTTTTACGTCCATAAAACAAACCAATACTATTATTAACTTTATCAACATCCATAATGATATTGATTAGCTTTCAGCCGTTTTTCTGTAAATTTGATTAATTGCCGTTATTGTGGTTTCTATTATTATAAAAATTAGTGTAAAACCATGCGTAAGTGCTAGAGGTTAATATTCCGATAAGATTTTATTTTTATCTGTTCGAGTATATTGCTTTGGAAAATATAAACAAAGACCATATGTTTATACAAAAATAAAAAAAAAGACCTTAAAGAGTTGCCATGTGCCGTATCACATAAAACATCATATGCACTGCAAAAAAAATTTTACAACCATTTTGATATTAAATGCTTGCAATAGTTTTGATCACTTTTTGAATTGAAAAGGCATTTATTGTGGAATATTGCCAACCAAACAACGATCTGAACAAGTGCTAATCAGGAGGCGTCATGTCTAGTGAGTATGCTGGATGTAGCAGAACTCCACGTTCGAGCTGCAACAGTGCATTATGTACAACTCTGGCAACAAGTGGCCAAAAAATGGCATTTTCAATCAATTCGTGTCGGCATTTATAAATATTTGAACCCAAAATGGGGTATGATAACATCACCGGAAGCCTCTGAAAGTGGGTTGTGGACTTTGGCAGTGCGTTTCTTTAAATAAACAACAAAAGCAATGAATTTGAAAGGAGAATTTCGAGCGCTCCACGATTAGCGTCGGCATACACTGAATAAATCGATATTAAATGAAAAATGGTTATTTTGTGTAGAGGAAGGTTAAAACCCTCGACGTCGACTGTTACGTACACTGGTACTTACCAATTCTTTATAATTTTTATCTGCAAAAGTCGCAAGCACCTAATAATTTAAAAAACATTTGTAAGCAAAAAAAATAATTGCTAATGTCTTCTCATTCGCAAAATGATGGAAAGAAATATAGCTCTACTTATCAAGTAGATTTTTAATTATATACAATAAAAGTTAATGCACTGCGAAATCAAACGAAATTGAATAAAACTAAGCAAAACCATTGAAATAAAAAATTAATTAAACATATATATGTATATAAATTTCTATACAATTTATGTTGAGACATACGACGACATAAAGGCTCTGCCAAGAAAAACAAGCGATTTTCTTATTGCAGTTTTTAGATTTTCAGTGTGAACACGTACATCAATTTTGTTTTTATAAAAAATTCGTTGTTTTAATGTTCATAAAAAATCACAAGATTTTACATTTTCGTTAGCTAATTAAAAATTATTAAGTACTGTCGATTTCTTCAATATTCAATCACAATTCTTCTTTATCTTTAGGCTCTCGTGGTGGTGATGCATTCTTAATATATTCGTTATACTTTTTATGATTACGTACATAGTTAGCGAGTTTAGACACTAAACGGGCAAATTCTTTGCCATCGAATGAATAATTTGTGAATTTAGCATGTGCTCCGCCTTCCGGATGGTGGCCTTCGTCTTGAGGATAAACCAAGTGCCGTTTTTCCCAAGTAATATAATGAACACCACGTAAACGAGCTAAATCACGATAACAGTTCGGATCGTCACAATTGTACAGCTCAAAAACACCAGCCCAGTCAGGTAAAAAGAGGAGGTGCGTTAAGCCAGCTCCATGTACACCAATTAGAATGTCTGTGTTACGCGTTATTGTCAATTGTTCCAAGAAATTTAAACCTCTACAAAAATCAAATCAAAAATTAGAAATTTAATCTGCTCTTGCGATTTAAAAAAATTTTACCTTTCGAAAGATATTCTTTTCACTATGTACTCTTCATCAGACGCAAGTTGCGCTATTAATTCATCCTCATTTAAAACACGGCGATATTTGGTGCGCCTTGCTAGAAATGTGATTCTTATTTTCCGGCGGGGTGGATGGAAAGGTATGCGCAAACGATGCAAAATAAATTCTGAGAAAGCGCGAAATAAACCACTCTTTTCACAGCCATGGATCTAAAGTTAAATAACATGAACGCACATTTATGAATATATGAGAAAACGTTCTCTATGTCACAAGCTTACCAAGGGCGTATTGTAATATAAACCAAATATCATACGCGGTAATAGTGGTAACACAACATTACGGAAGCAAATACGTTGCCCTTTTACTTGATTCAAGGTCCAAACAGGATTCTTTGAGAATGCTTTAAATGTAACAGCGAATGGTGAATCGTAGGGATAAGTTTCCCAAATGATCACTTGCGTGTTGAGATCGAAGGCCGAAGGATGTGTTTGATTCACAAACAATGTGGCAAATAGATTAAAAAAATCACAAAAATGGTGATACATATTGTATGAGGCGTCGATTTTCATTAAAAATGTGGGCGTGGTGATAACCATATCACAAATTGTTTCATTTTCAATTATGGACTCGTCGGCCTCCACAAAATTGCGTAATTCTGGCGACCACGATTGCAAGGCACCCATGTGACTTAATTCTTCAGTCAAAAGGCTTCTATTGAATCTGCAATATCCTTTAATTCCACCCTCATTTAACACATCCATATGATAGCGTATACGTTCTGCTCGCCCAGCTAAATTACGGAAATCGAACAACAAATTGCGACCACGACAGAATTTTAAATATTTATTGCATTCCAAAGAGGAATCGGTCAAAAATTTTGGTTCGCACATTAATAATAATTCATTAATCTGCTGTTGTATGTAACCAAAATCGGCTTGATAATAAAACGTATTGATTTGGGCCTCTTTACTTTGCACCCAACCCGTATGATCGCCAGAGCAAGAAGGAGTTTGGAAGCGCAGTTCTCTTGTGCAGTTAATTTCATGTCCCCAACATACGCCGCTCTCTTGGCCTTCTTTAGCAGCAGATGATATCTCATTTCCCTGCACTTGACTGATATTATTAAATGTCTTTAATATATTCTGACACTCTTGGATTTGCTCGCACTCAGTTCTGATTTTTGGAAACGTATTCAGGAATCGCTTTAAATGCTCAGGCGGCAAATCGGGTAAAATTGTTAAAGTGTAATTGTCTAGCTTACGATTGTATTGGGTTGAAAGCAGCAACAACTGACTTATTAATATTAGTCTTACACATGGCTTTAACATTTTCAAAAAAAAAAAAATGAAAGAAAACGTCAACAGTATAAACACATTCAGATTATTCCTTTCACAATGACCTTGATTGCTAATTTTTATATTCAAGTTAACTTTAACAATTTAAAACAATTGATGACTTCACAGTTTCATATTTTGTTGAACTTTTTTTATATTTTTCTGCCCACAAATATTTATTTAAGCTGATTTGAATTACCCGGCTTTTTCTTTATTTCAAGCAACGTAAAAAAATTGAATGCACGTTTTATTAAATTTTATCATAATGGCATGGCATGGTACGCTAGACCACCGTAACAATGTGTACAATATGTAGTTTTCTCGAAGTTCTACGAATATTTCTTTAAACCATTTAAACTCTGGCTTTTCATCATGAACAACATGAACAACGTTTGGTGGTTTTGTTTAGCCATTCAATTAGCTGCATATTAATTCTCTCATTTTCTCTCTTTACGCTAATATATGAAAAAATAAAACAATGAAATTTAAACACGGAGAGAAAGAGAGCGAACCAAATTTTTGTTTACCATAATTAACAGGTGTTTGTTTGTAAGCATATGACCTTCCTATAGAAACTCCGCATAAGCGTTTCATGGTAATAATTGTTGCAAACAGTAGAAAAATACAAGTTTTTTTAAATTAAAAATAAAAAAGTATAATTTATTTCTCTTTCGAATACTTTCAGCAACGACAAAGCAAAAAAAAAATTAACTTTCCATTTCTCTTCTGTAAATATTCACATTTTAACATAATATTCACTTCCTTCCTAAAGCGTTTCTGAATGTTAAAATTGAATAAATTTACCTTCAAACATAAACTAATCCTATCATCACCACCGACAATGTCTTCTTATAAATGCCTTGAGGTAAAATAAAAAAGAAAATAATTAAAGATCGTATATATTGTATAGCTCGCTAGTTTAGGAATATTACTTCATCAAAAGATGAAGATGAGATGATAAATGATACTTCATGTTAATTTTGTTTACTTTTTGAGGTATGTATTACTACCTTCAAGGAATAAATATTAAAAATTTATCCAAAAATTCGCACTTCATTTATTAACACAAGTAACACAAAAAAATAGTGACTCGTACACAACTTTAAAAATAACACGTTGCACTTGAGAGCCTCGTATATACATCGATCAAAACTAAGTTAATGTTTATGTATGTAATGATTACGCATACATCTAAATTAAAAATGTTTTAAAATTAGGGAAATGTCAGATGAAAAGATGAGAATTTAAACCCTATTCGTTAGTTTTCTTTTGTTTCTTCTCATCATTCCGATCGTGATGCCCACCGGATCGGCGTTTACGGTTTTTCTGATTCAGTTGACGTCGATTTTTCATAGCTTCCACCGCTTTGGCCAAATAAATCTTCTCTTCGTCCTCACTTAAGGCGCGTAGCTCAAGTTCCGCGTCCTTTATTTTTATCTGCAATAACAAAAAGCTAATTTCATATCTTTCTGGTTTTACTGGCATTACTTTCTAACCTTTTTGTCTTCAAGTTTTTCCAAAAATTTTTCTGCTATACCCTCTCCACTGAAACGAATATTGCCACTTTTTTCGCCCTTACTAAATTCAATGTAAGCTATTTCCCAGTCTCCTAGCTTTTCTACAGCTTCGCGTATATCTTCACGGGTAACATCCTCGGAGGCACCTTCAAAATACACTATGGCTCCCTTTGGCAATACGATTTTTTCGCCCCCCTTCTCTTCCTTCTCCATAGCCTTTTTCTCCTTTTTTTTATTTTTAGCTTTGTGCTCTTCCCGCTTATCGGCCAAATATTTTTCCTGCCACTTGCAGATTAACTTATTGTTATTGTATGTAGCCTTAAGTGCAGAAGAAGAATATTAAATTCTTATTATATTAGTGTTAATTGCAACAATCATACTCACCTCAGCCTTTTCTATAAAATTTTCTGCTTGTTCTTTCGTCTCAAAAGTAACGAAAACGCTCCCCTTGAACTTATACTGTTTGGTTGGTTTGTCCACATATTTACGCATGTATATGTGTGCAACCTTTTCATAAGCATTAAAATAATCTATTAAAGTGTTCATATCCGAATCCACTGGAAAACCCTTAACGTATGCGGTACGTGTCATTAATTCTTTGCGACGTTCCTCATTGCGTTCTGGTATCGGTCGTTCGGGATGACGACGAAGTTGAGTTTTGTCTTCACTCACTTCGACTAATCCTTCATCCGACTTCATCATAGCATTTGCGATTACAACAGGATCCTTTGATAAAGCGGTCAAACGTTTAAAAGTCAGTAGGACACTCAACGGAACCCAGCCTTCCTCATCTTTAGAAATTTGATCAATGAGAAATTTGTCACGAGATAAATTGTTGTCACCAAAGTAATATTCAACTTGACGTATTATATTTTTATCCAGTTTCCCAATTTCTACTAGATTGTCAGTCACTTCTTTTGGATCTTCGTTTTCTTCCTCTGCAACGACAAGCACCGCCGCGGGTTTTGATGTACCATTAGTGGTGTTTTCTTCTTCATCCGCTTTCTCGCCATTTTTAGTTATTTCCTCCGCAGACTTTTCTACTTCCTCGGCCATATTTTTACAAATATAAAAGTTAATTACAGGGCAGTAATAAATTATATTATTAAATTCGATTCGTAAATTTGTAAATTTGCCGAATGAAAAACACGTGCTAAACACTACGATATAAATTGTACAATATCGTTTGCAATAAGTTGGCCGTGTTATTAAGAGTTCGCTATTTCTAGTGTTGCCAAGTCATACTTGATTGATATATGATTTAAAATTTTGGCTCGTGCTAATTTTTATTTCAACCTCGCAATTGGAACATTGCCCTTGTTGAATTATTCGAAAATAACTGATCTACTCTTGAAAGATGAGCAACTTGTAGAGTGCATGTACCAGAAGCCAGACAAACATAAACTTTTTATGTAAACCGTTGACTTTTTGATATTAATGTAGTCATTATTATTATTAATACTGGCAGTGTAGGAGCGACCGAAACTGCAAAGACATAGCTTGCAACAAGAAAAGAAAATAACTGTATTCAGAAACTTAATGATATGATACTCATGTGTGTAAAATGAATACAAAAGATCTGAAAAAAGTGTCATGTGTTGTGAATAAAGAGAGAACAGAGTTGCTTTCAATAAATAGTGAAAAAGCACCGTATCAATTCTGTTAAATGAATAAATGGTGTAACACCGTACCAATTCTGTTTAATTTTCTGGGCAAGACGATGATGTCTTCAACCGTTTTCGGTTTTTCTACCCCACTGTCGTTTAAGCACCAATGGGCATATGTTTTGAAACTCCAAGTACGTGCTATTCTGTTATTAGACGTCGGTTATTATTCAAGATTTTTGTTATTATTACTTCCATTTACTATTTGTATAGCAGAGATGAACATATGCTTTTTCTCTATTCATCAATTTCCTTTTACAATGAGCCATACTCTAAAAATATTGGAAACCCTGGCAATATAAATAGAGGTCACAAAAATAATATTTTCTTAGCGGTTTAAAAACCTTATAATGAATCCTTTAGGAAAAATTCAGGTTCTGGATGATATCGAAAAGGAAATAATTCAATGTCTACAAAGTGCTGGTAATTATTTAATATAAAATATAAATAAGCTTTTCTACCTTTCTCTCATTTGCAGGTCAAACCCTCCAAGAGTTAAGTAAAGAGAAATCATCCCAGAAAAATGCCGAGACACAAACTCAGCAATTCTTGAAGTCCCTTTCAAGTTTGGAATCAAAACTAACAGAACAAATCAGTTATTTAACCCAGGTGTCTACAGGACAACCTCATGAAGGTTCTGGATACGCTTCAGCTAAAGTTTTACAAATGGCTTGGCATAGAATATCTCACGTACGTTCTAGAGTAAGAGAATTAGAAGAAACAAAGGCAAAATATACACATGCTGCGAGGCAACAGCAACAGCAGAGACAACAACAGCATGCGGCAGCCGCAGCAGCTCAACAGCAGATTGCTCAACAACAGCAGCAGCAACAGCAACAACAACAATCTCATCTGCAGGACAACGCCGGTGGGAGCTTAACAACAAGCGGAGCTATAAATCAGGATATCAACATAAACCAACAAACATCGTGAACTTGGAATTGTTAAAAAAGTTTTTTTTGTATAAAAGTGATAAAGTATTATAGTGAGTTTAATAAGGTGTTTCTAGTTTTAACCTATTCCCAACAAGTTCTTTTCGCACACAATGAACGTACCTCTTTCAACAGGAAATTACATGGTTTCAAAAAGTTTCCAGTCGAGTACTTTGATTTATTAAGCAGAGCTTGTTAGAACTATGAAAATTTGTTTTTTTGTTTTTTGTTCCTGAATGGGGAAATTTCATTGAGAAATTGATTGGGCTGGACGAAATATGGCCACATTCTTAAACTCATTTATTTCCTTTGTTTTTTTACCCAGCTAACGACTTCAACTGCAAACGAAAATGTTAAGAACAATTTTAGTTTTCTGAAGCAGACGTGGAGGTAACAAGAAATGGCATGCCGTCCGTTGGGAATAATCTTCCTCTTCTTGAGTGCTCAGCATTCGCAATAATCTCTAGTAACCTCTCATTAGTGAATTTTATTATAGCGACGAATACATAGATACAAATAATTTCTTGTCTTTGGCTTTGATGATTAGGTGGACATGCAAGTATAGCGCTGCGACGATATAGTCATTTGTGGTTTTTTGACTCATGCTTAGTACTGATAATAAAATCCACTAATGCCAGTTTACTATTGCATTAGCCTTGTTTTAATAAACCTCAAAAATAATATCAAAACTTACGAAAGTGGAAACATTTATTAGCGCCATTCAATAAATAAGAGAATTTACTTTTAGCTGACAATCTAAATTAATCGTGGCTAAAGAACATTGTGTACACCCTGTGCTTTTTTTTTATAACGCGGCAAATCATGTGTCCTGCTGACTCGCTGAATTTTGAAGAAGAAGAAGAAAATTGTTAATATTTTCAAGATTGTTTGCTACTGAAGTGATATAAAAAATATAATCTTGATGGAGTCTGAGAAACCTGCAAAACGTCTTTTACCTTCACCAAACTTTAGCTGGAAGGAAAAAGAAACTAACATAAAAACAAAAAACAATTTTTTACCATCATCCGCAATTTCGTTGTTAAAAAGTCGCAAACATGGCTCAACATATCCCGATGAATATTCGGATCAATCATCTAACACACAAATAAATGAGATTCGAAAAACTGAGAAACAACATTGTGAATCATGTGAACTTGACTTCCAATCACCTGAGGATTTGAAAGTTCATCGATTGCAGCACGAGAAATGTCCCGTAGATAGTTGTAAATTTTGGGGTCATTCTACGATCATGGATAAACACGTTCTCGTTCTTCATTCATCAGGTTTATTTGACAAATTCAAAAAGCTAAGCACGCCGGAAGAGATTGCTACTTGGAGGGAAGAAAGACGACGACGTTATCCTACTGTTGCTAATGTTCTCCTAAAGCAAAAGGCTCTCGAACAAAAACAAAAAAGAGGAGAACGTTTAGAGATTAATAAAAGTCGCTTTGGAAGGGCGGAAAGTCGTAAACGGACCAAACCCTGGATTAGTAAAGAGAACTCGGCAAATGAAGACTTACCACGAAGGAGCAATTTCAAAAAGCGAAGAAAGCAACAAAAAGATACAAAACCAAAAAGCAGCAATGTCAAAACAAAATTACATCAACCTCCAAAGCAAACTCAGGAACAAATTGAACATGGAAAGGAAGACTTGCGCATAGTATGCGCATTCGAAGGTACGGCCAAAATGGAGGACTATAAGCATTTTAGTCAAAAAAGAACTAATGCGAATGTTTTGTACAATCTATTGGGCATGTATGGCTCCGATTCTGAAAGCGAAAATTGTGACAATGAAGCGTCGGTCCAGCCCAATTGTTCTAACTCTATGTGTATAGAAAATGTAGCAACGTCAGTTAGTAATAATAATGAATGTGTTAATTCAAGTGAAGGGCAAGGAAAAAATGCTAGTTTCCATGTTAAGGAGAAAGGGAACGCTTCACAAAATTTAACGACTAATTTTGAAACTGATAGCAAGCAAAATGTGATTGCGATTAATGCGGGGGAATGTACGGCAGAAAACGAAGACAGGGTTGTGCAAGAAGATCTCTCTCCAAAATTTAACCAGCCCACTACCCAAAATGCTAAAGTGAAATCGGAAGGAGATTTCCCACAAAGAGATGGCGAATCATCTGACGGAGCCCCTGAGGAATGCCCAATTCAACATTCTGCCGATTATTCAAACATGCCTTTGAAAGTGGAAGATAAAGTTCCCCAACAGGCTCCCTCCTTTCGGAGAGAACAAAGAAAGAAAAAGCCTGCTTTCAATCTTAACAAGGTACGTTTGAGAAAACAAAATACTATGTTGGAAAAACTTTTGGAGCCAGACATTCGACATGAACGCAACCTACTGTTGCAATGCGTACGTTTCGTGTGCGAACACAATTTTTTTGGAATAGGTCAAATCTCGAAATAACTTGTTAAAGTCACTACTATACTTTATAAACCTAATAAAAAAAAAAAAAAAAAAAAATTATCATTTAGAGATGTTTGTTAATTTATGTTGCTGCCTCGATTTAAAGTTCCACTCGTCATTAAGCTCCCAAAAGGCGTTGTCCTATGTTTTGACTCGTTGTTCTAATCTAGAACGTACATGAGATTCCATGCCGAATCATTTGTTGAACTTTAGCTGAAGCATATCATAAGTTTGCCCTATAGACACCTGGGTGCAATAACTGGATTGTTCTGTTAGTTTTAATCACTACTCATCGAACACCAGAAAGTTTTTTTTTAATAAGAATGACGAGTCGCTTAGGGGATACCTCCTATCTGTTCGGAAGAAAAGAGGATAGAGGTAGGGGACAAAAAGAAGGGAAATGGTGGTTGGAGCCTAGTGGCTGTGTGCTGAATTGATAAGTGCTATGCCTTTACCGACTAAGTACACTCACTATCTCTCCCTGTTTTTTTCTCCCACTTATTCCCATTTAACAGCAAGTATTATGTTCTTTCCCACCACTTATTCTCATTTAATGGTGTATGAATGAAGTGTATGAACGATTTTTTTACAACGGTGTAGAGTTTATTTGCAGTTTAACCAATTTAACAGAATTATTTATGTAAAAAAAAAAAAAAATTATAAATTAAATTCGAGCTATCCGAAGCTCAAAAATCAGAACATAAACAACCATTTGGTTGCGTCTTGGTTCATTTTCAATTTATAAACAACCATTTGGTTGCGTCTCGGTTTATTTTCAATTTATAAACACAGCCATTTGGTTGCGTCTCGGTTTATTTTCAATTTATAAACAACCATTTGCTCGTGCAATACCATGATTAGCTGTTTCCCAAGAAAAAATATTAAATTATTATTATATCGCGTTCCTAAAAAAAATCAAGTGAAATTAAGAAGAACAGTATCATCAATTCTTTCCAAAGTTTATGTGTGCTGCCGCTACAACTTGTAAAACTCAACGGGTTAACACATAATAGCAATTTATCACGCTACTGGATGTGGGTGTTAGTCAACAAGGCTAATTAATTAATCTAAACAAACCAAACACAAAAAAAAAATAGTTGCTGACAAGTTTTTCAAATGAATAAATTCATTGAGCAAAGAATTTGCATCAAATTCTGCTTAAAGAATGGAATCGCTTGTGCGGATGTATTAAAAATGCTAAGAAATTGTTACGGCGATGAAACAATGGCACAATCAAAAGTATATAAATGGTACAAAAATTTTAAAGAGGGTAGAGAAGCAGTTGAAGACGAATCACGGCCGGGAAGGCCATCTACCTCAATAACTGATGAAAATATCAACAAAATCAAAGCCCTAGTAATTAGTAATAGTCGGTTGACAATTAGAGATCTTGTTGATATCACGAAAATATCGATTGGGTCGATACAATCGATTTTGAAAGACCATTTGGGTCTCAAAAGTGTCTCGTCCCGTTTAGTTCCAAAAAAACTCAATATATTTGAAAAACAGCATCGTGTTAATGTATCCGAAATAATGATTTCTGATTACCAGGAGGTCATAAAGCGTATTATTACGGGAGATGAGATATGGATATACGCATGCGATATGGAGGCAGCCAATCAGCCAAATGAATACTGTGCCAAAGATAAATTAAGAGCGAATAAACCGCGTCCAGGCAAGTCGAGACTTAAGGTGATGTTGACAGTTTTCTTTGATTATTATGGCATAGTGTATTATGAATTTCTTCAGCCGGGCCAGACTGTTAGCGAAGAATATTATTTAAGCCTTATGCGTTCTTTGCGCGAAGCTATTCATCAGAAGCGGCCAGAATTATGGAAAAGCAACTCTTGGTTTTTGCATCACGATAACTTATTCCCTCAGACCTCATTTATTATTCGAGATTTTCTCATTAAAAGTGCAACTCGTATTGTTCCACAAGCAACCTATTCGCCCGATTTAGCGCCATTCGACTTTTGGTTATCCGTCAAAGTCAAAAAACGATTCAGGGGACGTCGTTTCGATTCAACTGAAGATATCCAAGTCGAATCTAAGGAACTTTTGAAGTCCATTGCCAAAATCGAGTTTAGCAACTGTTTCGAAGAATGGAAAAGACGTTGGCATAATTGTATTCTTTCAAAAGGGGATTACTTTGAAGGGGATGAAGTAAATTTAGAAAAATAAGCAATTATTGTTTGTTTATATATTTGTTTTATATAATTATTATATACTATTTTATATGTGTACTACCAATCTTCGGAATTTTAGTAAATGGAGTTCTATTTCAACAACAGAGTACATTTTGTGTATTAGAAAAGAGAAGAAAAAGACTATGAAGGTATTAGTAGCATAGAACGTATTTAGCATATAGCTCAACTAAGCAAAAATTAATTAATTAAATAACTTTATTTAATTATTTAAACAAGCGGAAAAGATAGATTCGATTGGTTTATACGGCTCATTTTACTTCCGTCGTTTAATGTTACATATCTTCTGATAAGAAGAGGAACTGAAATGTACGAAAGCTAATTTAAAATTGCTCAGAAAATGCTTTATTAAAAAAACAATTTATTTTACGAAGGTATACAGCAAATCATCCCAGTCCATGTCTTTTTAGTTTAAACTGCTAATTACTAGTCTAGAGATGGCATTGGATCAAGCATTTTTATGATTCTTCCCTTTCTGAATAAGTTATAAGTTATTTTAGGAAAATTTATTTTTATTAATATTGGTTGATTTTACATACTAAATAAATGAATATGGAAAATTTGGATAACTTGGAATAATTTTTCAAATACCCCTTTTTTCATGTTTGAACATCTTTCTCAAACCAAAGGTGCTTACAGCAAAAACGGGTAATGTGTAATGTTTAGTATTCAGAAATGGAAATTGATGATTTTTTTTTATATACCGGGAAGCTAGGTGTACTCTTCTCTGTTTTCTTAGGGGAATTAATTCAACGTAATGATTTGAAATGAAGTGTAGGTAATTACTGGTCTATTTATTTTTTTTATGCATATACCACATTTAGAAGGACGGAAATCTGTTTTCCATATTTTCTCCAAGATATTTTTTTTAATTGCAATAATTTTTTTAAATCTTTACCTAGTATTACTTTTATATGAAAAAATATTAATTATTCAATTACCTTGAGAAAATATCCAATTAAAGAAGTATAAAGTTCAAGTAAAAGATTAGAAAAATTCTATTCATTTTATATTAATGTTATGAAATTCGCTTTTTACAACATACAGTCCGTATCACTGGATCGTGGATATTTTGTTCAAGAGAAATACACTTCAAAGTTTTTTGATTTACAATTACATTCCTTAACAGTAGGATCATTTATTTACAGTTACGTTCCTTAAATGAAGGATTATTCACAATTTATTTTGGCCGTACTCTCTGCTTCTATGTTCTTGCCCGACTAACCCTCCCTTCCACAAATATTCTATTTATATACATTTTTACAAGCATGTTACTATACCTAAATTTATGGTTTTATTTCTAATCCCAGCCTGCTTTTCCTCTATCGTTTTCGTCGGCCTGCACATGCATGACCCGGCTGCGAACGTGCACTTAGCTTTTACCTGTCTGCTTTTCCGCTAATCGTTTTCATCGGCCTGCATGAGGCGCTTGCGAATGCTCATTTGGTTTTTCCTTCTTTAGGGAATTTATTATTATGGAAAATTACTTGGCTGAAATTAACTGGCTTTGGGATTTTCGTAACATTAAATAAATGTATATAAAAATAAAATATATATAAAAGAATGATTAAATGATTGCAGATCCCACCGCATTGTGTATTGTCCTATGAATAAAATAAATAAATAATGGTTAAAAAGAATTGAGGAATGACAAACAACATAGGTGAAGATCTTTATAAAAATATAATTCACAAAATTATATGTAACAACTTTTTGAGATGAATCTACATCTTTTGCAATATTCTTCATGTTTTATGAACAAAGTAAAAGCATATAAAACATGAAAAGTTGCTAAGACAATTTTTATGAAAAGATATCCACGTTAGCCTTTTCCAAAAATTCCAGAAATTATATATAGGACGAAAGTAACGAAAACTTAGCAAGAAACGCAAGAACGTTCATATTAATTTTCAGTCTTTGATGAATGGAAATTGAATTATGTTGAAAGGCATGTTTATATATATATATATACATTTGTCAAGTTTATTCTAAGATACCAAATAACAAAAATTGCACCACCATCATATTTAAAGTAATAATTAAAGTTTCAAGAACGTTATTGCTATAGATTTAACACTATTCACATTTTATTTAACAACTATCGTTTATATACTCATACATATAACAAGTTAATCAAGAATGGTTTAAATATATGAAAGATAACAAAAACAGGCAAGAAAAAAATTTTTTTTTTAATTAATCAAAAGTTAGAGCTATGGAAGTAAATGGAAGTGTAGGACAGGTCGGTTCCAATTGTAGAGCTGTAGCCATGCAATTCGCAGAAGCCGTGTATTCTCTCAAAGTTTCCAAAACTTTACCCAATGAAAACCTATCAAAATTTTTGATTTTATTACAATGTAAAGTGGATGGTTTTCCAGATAAAAAGAAAAAGAAACAGAAGAGTAGTTCACCATATTCTAGGACAATTTGGATCAAGTTTGGCCGCATCTTTTAATAATTTCTCAGCTAGGCGGGGTTCGCCCAGCATATTATGAGTTTCTCCTAAAGCTCGCAAGGCATCCGTATGATTTGGATTGGCTGCTGTCGCATTCAGAAAATACTGCTTTGCTTCGTGCCATTGTTCCATTGAAGCGCATACTTGGCCTCTCTAAAATCAAAAGAGTTTAATATGGTCCACAAAATTAAAATTAATATGTATGTACCATATACATTATTTGATGCGACAAGGGATATATTTGTGAGGCTTCATTTATACAATTCATAGCTTCCACAGGTTGTTCTATATTTAAATAAACGTCAGCTAATAGCAACCAAATCTATGAAGAAATATGTTCACGCCATGAATAAGAAGCACTTGTAGATTAGGAAAGAACAGTTGTATGTTTGCAAATGAAATATTTTACCTTAATTTGTATCATCCAGGGCCTTTGTGGGCCAGGCCGTGGGGTAAAAGAACTTAAAGAACTTGCCGCTTCGCTGAGAGCTTGTTCCACACGTGACACTGCCGCCAGAGAAGCCGCATAAACAGAATCTTCAAATTAAAATTTTTGTGCAATTCAATTTAAATATAAAAATGATCTAAGCCAAGTACAAAAATGAATTAGAAACCATAGGGTGATACACAAAATACGCAAGAATTCCATAACAATTCCAAAAAAGTGGCATGAAAAACTGTAAACTTGCAAATTTAAAGTTAACACAGGAAAATCTGGAAAGTCTTGATACTTCAACTTCATGACATTATTAAATGCAATACAATAAAAAAACTCGTGTAGCAGATGAAAAGTATGTGTGGGTTTTAGCAGGAAAACAGTTAAAAAAAAGTTGATTTTGCTTGGTTATAATGAAAACTTACAGTTCATTATGATTATCCAAAATTGTTTTGGAAATTGAGAGAAAATTGAAAAATGATATTAAATACCTTTCACATGTAAAGAATATATATTTGAAATTAAATTAAAAATAATAATATTAATTTAAATTTCCTTTTTTTTATTTCAATAACGCAGATATTTTCCGAAAATGACTAAATATTCAATGTAGACGTGGAGAGCACCTTGCTCTCTAAAGGTACACTTGCGTGCTTTTTGAAAAGTTCAATTATCTTAAATATACTGATTAAACATAAGATTAAGTCTTAACCAAAACATTTTGTAAAATAAAACGAAATAAGGAAGAAAACAATTTCAACTTACTTGAATCCTTATCTGACATTTGCGAAGACGGTACGTGTAGAATCACACTTTTTGTATCCGATTGTTTTTCATCTTCAACGGCGACCTGACCCTCATATAATTCGCGCCAGATTGCCAACATACGTTGCACCGTAACTAAAGCAATTTCAGCGTCTTGTAAATGTAATTGAAGATGAGCTTTAATGTGCAATAAATTTAAATTATCCGGAAATTCCTCAAGAGCGTCTTCTACAACTGTCAGGGCTTCACGTGGACGACGTGAACCTGTTAAAAGCAAAGCAAATAAATGTAGACTTGGCGCATGTTCGGTGCGCAGGGATAAAGCAAATCGTATATGTGCTAGAGCTTCCGACATATTATTTAGCAGAGCATATTGCAAAGAAAGATAGTATTCACATAAATGATCATTGCTGTCTAGTTGCGCGGATTTTTCAAGGGCATCTAGTGCCAGTTTATTATAATTTTCCCGTTCCGCTTTCAATATGGATTGTATTGCAAGTTGTTGGTAGCCAATGCCAACATACAATTGGCTGCGCGTATTTCTAATATCTGTAATGATATTTTTTTTAAACACTTGTCCACGGTTATTAAAAGTTTAATGTACTTTTACTCTCTCTTTTCATAGCCAGCTGGGCGTATTCAAGACCTTCCTTAATCAAACCCAAAGACTCATAACATAATTTGGAAGCCAACAAGCATGGTAAGGGATCATTGTGATTTAATTTTATCGATTCTTGTAAGACTCTTAATGCATGCATATGTTTACCAGCCGCCATTAAAGATATTCCATATTGTCTCCACACGTGTTGCTCTCCAAATGAAAATTTAAGGGCTTTTTCGAAAGACTCGTTTAGAAGCTGTATAAGTCCCCATCGTACCGTAGCTAACGTAAGCAAATCGTAAACTGCGGTCGCATTACCCATTGCATGAGTCCGAGCCAGCCGAAATTCAGGACTTTGGGAGAGTACAGTATCTTTGACTGCTAAAGCTTCGGCTATCAATAGCAATAAAATAGTTTCTTCTTGTTGATTACGCGGTATAAACTGATTATGCGCGGCGTATTTTCTTGGCTTCCACAGACCACTGCTTTGTTTTTTCTGAGTAGGGGGGCTGTAAATAGTTCCTGAAACACCTCTGAGAAGGACCTCAGCCAACTGTCGGGCTAAAGTCAATCGTAATGATTGAGTGGTTTTTGTCTCGATGGCATTTAACATAGTTCGATAGCGATTGATGGCTTCTTGCAGTTTTCCTGCTTTTATAAGAACAATAGGAGCTCGTTGCAAGGCAGTTTCTAATATTGTACCCATGCGTCTGTTTAATTCGAGAGGAGTAGCCGGAGCACTAGAGCTAATTGTCAAATTGCTGAAGGATTGTTGCACATTGGTGTTAATGGTTAAAGTAGAGCCGCCCGTGTTGTTGGTCGTGGCTGAGTAATGGGCGACATCTTGCTCTTGTAAATATAGCAATCCCAAATCCGTAGAACGTTCAAAACAAGTAATCTAGCAATAGACAAGAGCATTGCCTTTATCTTCAAATATATTTTGGATCACTGAAAATATACCATTTCAGATTCCTTTTCAGCTTTCTTAAACTTAGATGAAGGCTTTGCAGTTTGATTCTCCAAACAAAGTCCTTTTATGGCGTATGATTCTGCCAAAATTCTTAAACTACGTCTAAATACCGATTTTATTACTTTTAAAGATCTGAACAATTAATAAGTTGCATACTTACAAAGTTAATTCCTTTTCAGCTAAAGTGTTTAGTTCGGCTTTTACAAAATTTTCTAAGCTTTTCTCATATTCTCCGCACGCATAACATAATTTGGCTAATAATAAATATGCATCTAATGCTATGCCAGCCTTCTGCCCATTTTCTCTAGTGACTAATGAAAGACAACGTTTGGCCTCTTGAAGACCTGAACGTGCCTTAACAAAATTACTTTCAATAGGTGGACTTTCCTCTAGAAAGCCTTCTAAACGCGCTTCACCCACCAGGAAGGTAGCCAAACATTCTAAATATTATTAACTAACAGAATTTTATCTCTTTAGTGATTTCTCTTGTGCGCTTACGCTTACCATTGTTTGGAGATCCTGTTTTCAATTCCTCTGACAAATCAATCACTTTTTGCCACTTGCCTTCACTTCTACAACTTTCAATAAGTGCTTCTACTTTTGTAGAGTTACGCATTTCTTATTTACAAATTTAGAATCAATTCTTATTAATCAGCGAATTAAAACTTGTTTGTTTTAAAATTTTTAAGAATGTATTGATTTTATAGCAATTGAAAAATTTATGACTTATTTGTATATATTTACAACTCTTTTATACTTATTTCATTTGTGAAGTTTCCTAATAACTCATATCAATTTATTATTTCCTTCCCCTCTTAACGATGTGATTTCAACATAATTATTTAAATTTAAAAATTCTTAAAGACTTTTATATTCCTGGTCCAATCTATCAGATAATTATGAAAATAAAATTTGTTATAAAATTGTAGCGAAATAAACTAATAACTAGTGCAAAGGCTGCCACAGATGATATCTTTGATCAACTTGCTCGTTTATCAGGCCGCACCTAGTTAAAGCGCGAACATAACGTTTGCGTTATGCGCCGTGCGTATAAAGTTGATTGTGTTTAATCGTCTTGCTTTGAAATTTTTTTCTTTTATTCTTGACGTTATAAATTATAGTATTCATCTATTCATTGTCGTTGGAAACAATCGACCATGCCCACATAAAGTTACATGTAATTAAATCAAATTTTTTTCACTTCTTTGAGATTTTACGCTTATTTATCATAAGGCAAGCAAGACAGAATGTTTAAAACAATTTTATACACTCCTCAAAAGAAGATAAATGGGTTAATTCTAAAACGAATATGGTAGACACCGCGACTACTTTTTCTTAATAATACCAGTAATATGAGCATCAAATAAAAGAACGTGGAGAGTAGAATGCGAAAAGCATAGTTATGCGGTCCATTAACGTAATTAAAGTTTTTAATTTTACTGTTTTAAGAATTTTTAGTTATATTGTATTGTTTGATTTTTATTAGATTTGATCCATTGGTTGTAGGATTAACAGTAACAGCGGTATGCATTTCCGCGAGACGTCGGAGGGTCCGGTAGATGAGATTGCCTTTGTTCAGTGGCAAAGATGTACAAGTAGTCAGTACCGGACTGTCGAATTCAGGATAAATTTCCCAGAAAATTAGGATTATAAGTTTAGGCTGTACCTTGTTTATTAAGAGAGTAGGAAAAAGAGAGATTAAAAGAAGAACCAGCTGCTTTGATAAAGGCAATCATTTGTTTGAGATGTATATGGTTGCTAAACGTACGAAAAATTTCATATAATTTCATATGTTGTACTTACAAAGGAAACGAAAAAATTTCTAAGGATGTTGGAGTTTCTGCATTCAAAATTTAAATGTTCAGCTGACTCTGCAGTGCTGCATTTCACGAGGAACAGACTTTATCGTTTTAAGCAGACGTTGTCTTACGCATAACTGGTCATGAGGCAAAAAAGTATTTTAATTTCTCACGTTGTGAAGTTGCCATTCGGTAGTTGCTCAAAATTCAGGGAAGGATGAATTTTATAAAAAGGCGGTCAGTTTTTTGTCGACCAATTTCATGGTACTCATCCTTCCATTCTTGTATGATGTTTGGGCGAATTAGACGTAGAGCATCATCGATGGAAAAGATTATATTTTAAAATTGAGCCTCACGCGCATATCAGCCCTTTCATTTAAACTGTAACCGCAATAGTCTTGGTACTCAGTTCAAGTGGCATTCATCAAGCAGAGAATCATTTAAAATATCATAGATGTCAAAAACACACATGTTATTCGGATCTTTGTTTTTGATTAACATTAACGCCGATTTGCTGTCAGAGAAGATAACGAATTTTAATGTCCCTAGGAGTAATTATCGGGATATCTATCTACCGAAAGGCTGGAATTTATGGAACCGCCTGTGGCAAGTCATTCTCTCGGTAGTAATTTAATTGTTGCGGTTATGCAGATCGAAGACTTGAGTAAGGTAAGTTCCTGTTGGAATTGGTGATGAACTTGAGAATATTCAAATTTTGCCTTTGGAATGGATCACATTCCGAATGGGAGCGGTGTTAACTTTTTTGAAAATGTGAGTAAATTTTTAGTAGCAGCTTGTGTAGCTGCAAGAGACTTCATTATGTCTGGAGACCACCTTTTCGAGGCGAGAGGGTCTAAAGACTTTCGCTTTTAAAAGCTCATTAGTAGTTAGCAGATAGGCCTTCTTTGAAACTGGACGTTCTGAAAGTTTGAACTGGAAGGATCTTAGTATAGGCAGTGGCTGATTGTTTTTTAAGCCAATCTACATAGAGTTTGTTATTAACAAGCCGTATTGGGTACTTATATCTTCTGTTCATCATGACGACCATTTAAAAATTTCCAGAAAGGTTTTGAATTGCTGTCTGTACAAAGTTGACGAATTTTTCGAGCACGATGAATCCTTTTTGGTTTCCTTACTGTTTTCTTCTATTATTTTTGAACTTCCTTGAAGTTATTAAAGTTGGTGTTGTTAATATATTTTGTAAATTTTTGCTTGGAGCATATTTTGTAAATTTTTGCCATGGTTTGAGAGAAAAAGTATCCGAAGTCTGTAGATTGGTTCGGTCCAATTGATTCTTGGGGAGGAGTTGGTACCGGTGTGAAAAGTGATTGGAATATAGTGACTATTTTCTAGGTAAACTGACTTCCCATTCAAAAGCAATATTATAGATTTGAGGAAACTTAGAGCTAAAGTACTACCAGTCCTGGAATGGTCGTTAGAGTGGAGGGTTTTGCCCCTATTGTTCGAGACAGTGTCGGCAAAGTAAGTGTGTCTCGAATTGAAATCACTAGCAAGAACTACCTTATGGAAATCACAAACTTGTTGCATTCCGTGACGGGAAATGAAACGTATCTACTTTCGTCGATTGTTTGTTTATCACTTGAAGACGCTTCCGGGTTGAAGGATTCGAAAATCCCAGCACAAACATTGAAAATAATAAAGAAATAGGGCATGCCTAGAGGGAAAATTAGTGCTCCGGTACAAGTGAAGGCGGCGTGTGAGCGACCTAAGTAAGAGTAATAAAGCACTAAACCAACAACAACAAGTGCTAAAAAGGAAAGGAGGACGCACCCGTCCTTTCAATGGTCGCGGTGCGTTGTTAATGCATATCGCCAAAATCTATGATATAATGACGAAATGGAAATAACTGGTGAAGAGGAAATCTTGTTTATAGATATAGGGACGGACGATAACAAATACAATAATGAGCTTGGACGTACAAGAAAAGAAATGGTAATTATTAAACTTTGAAACGGAAACTAGAAACGAATCATTGAAAGAAGAAGAAGGGCAAATAATCAGAGATTAGCAAGAGCGCAGGAACGCAGTCATACATAAGAAAGCCGGCCCTCAAAGCGCAATCAAGCGGTACGTACCAAGTAATCCTTGCAGAAAATTTCGAGTGGAGCGTTAAGAAAACAAAACAGAGAAACTGAAGTCCCCAAAAACACCCAAATTAAACATCGAGTCAGAAAAAAGCTGCGGAAAATAGCCAAAACCGGAAAACGATAACGAGAGCACGACTTAGGCAAGATTTACAGGATTTACAACAGAATTGGGGGTAATTATGAGTTTGATTTAAAACAAATTACTACTTCAACTATTTTAAGACAATTAGGTTTAATAATAAAAATTTTAGTTACAGAGATTGCCAAATTCTTTGGTAAAAAGTACTCCATATCTTCAACACGCACTGGATTTTCGAAAAAACCCAAGTTATTTTGTCAAATATAAACTTTGTAATCAACCTTGGCCGCCTAGAGAAATTCGAGGAAAAAACTTGTATTCACTCATATCCAACCATTGAATAAGCAACAGAGGCTTAGCGCATCTATTGTGTCTTATACCCAGCACTGTAAGATGGGGGTAAACTCATTTTGTTTTTTTTCTTAAACTACAGGTGGGGTAGGGCACCACAAAACCACCACAAAACCCTGATTGACAGCCTTATTCAAAATGGTAACTAGTAAAATTTAAAAATAAAAAGATTTTTTTAAAAAGTTATGTGATTTATTTAAAGGTCTCTTTTATTTATAGTTTTCACAGTATCACCCTCAGAGTTACAAATAAGGATCCCAGCCCGGGAACAACAGACATAGATTTCGGTTTGATGTGGCCTCATTAATTATTCGTTCCACTTGCACTTTCACACTGGATACACCAGAAATACCTGCCTGTTTACCTTCAAGTTTATTTTGAACAATCAATAAAGCACGCTGTGCCATGAAATTCTTGACATCTGTTTTTTTTTTTTTTGAAAAAAATGCAAAATTAATAGTAGCTTGTGAATTAAGTGCAGTGGCAACTTGCCAACGTCATCCTCCGTGTCTTTCGCGATTTGAGGCACAACCTTCCAGATATAGAGGGGGTCGTACAGTAAAACTTCTAATATTGTAGTAATAACTTCTTGATGACGCCTTAACACTATCATTGTGGTTTCACATGATTTCTTGAAAACCCCTTGAGGCCCGTTTATACCCATGGGTGCCAGCATGTCACGCGTTAAACGAAATGGTACTGTTTCCGGTGTAGGCATTATTTTACCTTGTTCGAAAGCAATACCTGCAAAGACACATTTGGTGGACTGAACAATTTTTATTAATATTTGAACTTACCAAAATCTATATGTATAAGCTCGGCAGTCTTTTCATCAATCAAAATGTTCTGCGCATGGCGATCCCCTAAACCCAGAACGTATCCCACTACAGATGTAACAGCAACACTAAGATAATTAGTTGGATACAAAATGAAAATTTTGAAATTTGTATTATTGTTATGATCTTAACTTTGATCTTTTGTTTGAGGAAATATTTCCAATATATGATTTGAGTAAACCGTCGTTCTAAGAATATGACTTAAAAAAATTGATCCCTTTTTGGTTTGGCTTTTGACTTAACATATTTATTTTTAGTTGAAGAGAAATAAAGCTTAAATCTAGCTCTATTTTAATCGGTGCCCCCTTGAATTTAGCTTACAAAAGGGAGATCGGTGAAAATTGTTTATGATAAGCTAAAATGTCACCCGTTCTTTACAAAGGTCCAGGTTTATCAGAGTATTCATTTACGTGGCCTCTATCTCGTATTAAATTGTCCTACGGGCACTCCACAGACAATTACACCTAAAGGAAATGCACGTGCTTTACCCTTAACCTAACTTTTCGAACGAGCATATCCCAACTCCTGTAACATTCTTCATCATGGCCTACCTAAAATCTGCTCCGGCCCATGATTTGCAATGGGAGACCCAGAAGTTAGTTACTGTTCTTTCCGTTCGAAATCCGTAAACTCTCTATTACAGGGTTATATATGTAACAACTCATACATTGCGATATATTATGGAGCCCAGCGACGACTATTTAGCAACAAACTTGGCATACCCGAACTAAGCAATGTAAACTTTGGTGTTTAAATCGTTTTTTAAAAGAGAAAAATTGGGTAAAACGTAAACTCATTCAATAGTACGTCGTTGGTTGAGAGAAAGATTTATTATATACCTCAGTGGGATAAATGAGATTTTAATTATTACTTTGTCGTAAAATTGCCAAATTGGCAATTCTTCATAGATGTTTTAGGATGTTCAATGGCCATGATGATGGACTGTTTAAAAATATAATCTCTACTTGATGAGTTTTACTTGCCAGCCATCGATATATATTAATTATATATTTAAAATCTGGGAAGGGAATTTATGACAACATAATGAAAGTAATAGCATTAGTGGATGACTACTGCTTCCTACAGTACTGTAAAAAATTGGGTAGCTAAATTCAAAAGTGATCGTAGAAATATTACAGGTAAACATCACACTAGATGTCCAAATATATTACTAGCAAATACAACAAGAAACAATCTTATGGTGTAGTATCACTGGCAAAGTAGTATCACCGAAGAAATTGATATGCCACATTGACTGGTAAATAAGATCTTAAGTAAGCAACATGTAAAGATTTTAGCTACAAGAATGTCGTTGAAAACATGGGCGGCGGACTTTTAGACCTCGGAACAAAAACGACTTTCAATACGATTTCTGAGCGACATCAAAAGCCTAATTATTAACTGAAGACGAAACGAACCACAGAGTGCGTTGAAGACGGTTTTCAGTTTGTAAACTCAAAATTGTTTAAAAATATTACATCATCAGCTCGTTCGGAATACAAAAGCGCTCTTTCTCTTTTCTCATTTACGTCTATTAACATTATAATAATATTATTTTAATTACTGTTATAATTTTAGACTAATGAAATAAATTCTTAGACTAAAAGAAAAAAGACTTGGAGTACTACCTGGCCATCGGCTCTAATTTATAAAAGTACATTAGATATTGAGCCTAGTAGTTTAAAAAAAAACAAAAAAACATTGTATTGATATTCTGTTCTGTAGTTGATTTTAAAATGTACATAGGATTAGTCACTCCATATGCAATACTTCTAGCCAAGGAATAGTTAAGACAGTCACAGAGAATGTGCTTTATAGTGAGAATTTGTCCACAATTGGAGGATGGGGGAGTAAGACTTCTTTAAAATCCATTGGTGAGTTGCAATTGTACGGCCAAAGCGAATTCTCGCAAAGGTTCGGATCTAGCTTTTGTCAACATTTGTCGGGTATAAGGGGGGAATTAATTGAGGGTTAATAGAAGAGCAGTGCTGATAATGTAGATTTCCTTCTGTAATTTTTTCTTTAGTTTCTCTTCCAATGTATCTTTGAAAATCGAATTTTTCCATGACATCATCTTGGCTTGGTGATAGTCTGCACGTTTAGTACTGGTAAGTCATTAATATGCGTCAGTAGATTTCCTGCATCACATATCTGCTTTCGACAAATGTGCTCTTTTGGGTTTTTGTATAGAACGCTTGACGCTTGCCCACGTGGAAATTTCTCGTTCAATAGATTCGAGGATGTTGATTGCCTTCTTTTTCTTTTAGTAAAATGTATACATCGTCCGCGTAGAGGCAATGTTCGATGTTTGGCATACGGCAAAGAATTTTACTAATTTCATTCAAAGCGATCAGGAAAAGCGTGACAGAAAGAGGAGATCTTTGTGGAATGCCATTCATTAGAGGAAATCAGAGATATTGTTGTTAATTCTAACTTCAAACCGAATCATTTGACGTAGTTGAAGAATTTGGATCCAACATTCCATGATTTCAAGAGTCTTAAACTAACATGAAGACCAACTCTATCAAATGCTTTTTCGAAATCAATTGAGAGAATTGTTACATGGTATACAATTTTCCAGGAGCAGGGCACATCCGACAACAGCATTTGAAAAAGAAATTGGAGTCCTTTTATTTTCGATGAAAGCACTGGAGAAGTTGCTGTCAGAAGAGTATTCGCACCACACTTTTCCAAAATAATTAGAAATATCATCTGCGTCGGTTAAAGTTCGCTTGAGAGTACAGACGGCACAAATTTCGTTCAAATTTTAAGTCCCATTGAGCCTGTTGGTTTTGTGCCAGACAACTTTCGTTGATGTATTTTCATAAGTTGACATGTCAGCGTTTCCATCGAAAATGTCGCTATAGGAATTTTGCATGAATAATTTGTTCTTACCAGAAGAACAATCTGTACTTAGGTGGCTGTGCACATTTGAAGTGCAACGAGTGGGAGCACGTGAATAATTTGAAATTGAAAGTTGATTAAGGGATGAAAGATTGGATTCATTACAACTTGTAATTTGTTGGCTAGAGTTGAGAGCTGGTGATTCAGGTGAATTTATTATTACTATTAAACTTTAGGATACGTGTTGTTGTTTTGATTTTTTCAGTATTATCTTTGGCGGGTAGTGGAACTGGTTTCGCAATATAATTTTTGGTTGATGATAGAACAGGTTTTTCGTTGGAAGGAGTTAAAGGCCTTTTAGGCTCGATTTGCGAGGCGACAGCACCGCAGGTATTGCTTTTGCTATTCCTTTGGATTCCAGTCGGATTTTTTTCCCGATACTTACGCCGCGCTTCGACCATGCAGTAAGTTTGTTTTGATTTTTAGAATTTCGCGCATTTGCATAAAACGTGGGCATTGTCTGTCTAACGCTGAGTGCTGATCATTCCAATTTATGCAGAAACTGCGCATCGTCATTTAATTTAGGGAATGTATAACTATTCGTCTTCTGTCACCTGTTTTAAGCGCGGAGCATAGATTACGCTTCTAACTGAGTTAAGTTTGTCATGTAGTTTAGCGGAAATCGGACATAAATTTGCTAATGATTTTAACTTTATGAGGTTTTGCGTTGCGCGAGGGTTCCCAGTGAGGACACGTAAATTACCATCACGTATAATCGAGATAGAGTCTATATATGCTGTAATGCCATCTAGGGCTTTTTTTATAGCGAAAGGACCGATGCGTGAAATTGTTATGCTAGCAACAGTTGAAGATATAACATAATTATATTTTTTGTCAATAGGAATGATGTTACTGATTGGCAACTTCGGAAAGTCCGCATTTTTAATTTTTTTTTCTGCGGTGATTAGTTCGCTAATATATGACATCTATTCGAGTTTTTACCTGGCGGCACCGGGGCCATTATGCCTTTTTGTTGTTTATTATTTCGTAATTTGGAAAAAAACCACTCACTCGAAAAAGATTTGGAACTGCTAATGGAAAATGTCAATTGTCTTCAATCTTTTTTTTCTTGTTATTTATTTTTTTTTTTTTATTATATATAGAGAAAAGAAAATCATACACGGCATCCGCGATAACCAGTTTAGTAAAAACACTGAAAAGACACGAGCTAAATACACGAAAACACCGAAACTATCAAAAAATCGCAGATGAAGAGAAAACACGTACTACTCAGAACGCGAGTTGATTACGTATCATCATAATAATAATAACTATATGTTTTGTCAATTCTCTCACCTGTTTATGTAAGCTACCCGACGTTCAAACCATACACCAGCTTGAAGAAATTTTTCAAAGAAGAAATAATGAAAAACTGGCTTAATATTCTCGCAGATATGAGTAAACACTTCTAAGCGTTTCTCTGCATTTGATTTTAAATGACTCTAAAACAACAACAAATGACTAATATTACTTGCACGGTATTAAAAACGGAACCAAGAAGACATTTACCTTAGACAATAATCGGCATTTTCCCACAGTGTAATCTTTGGGACGATAACTTCTATGAGCATCACCTAAATAACTACCTATGGGTGTAGTATTCTCACACCATTGCAATATGCCGGTTCGCGTTGATAAGGGCATTACTTTGTAAGTACGGATTTTAAGTTGACGCTGTACTGCTTCCGGATCTTTTTCGAGTAGATGATTAATCATGCAAAAAGCTTGTTGCATCACTGCATCTTGTCGCAAATCGTCTTTTCCTTTTAATAATTGTGCCCTTGTTATGCCATCCGAACAAACACATGATAATTTTTTGGGAGCATTTATACCACCAACAAGAGAAATTTTCTTTTCCCATCTTATAATGCCTGCAACACAACAAAGTATATGTTTGGCCCGTTGAGACAATTAGAATTTATTTAGAAAGGAAATTTTACTTGTAATGTTATAATTCAAATCAATCCGTACTGGCAATTCAATAGTGGGGCATTGTATTTCATCGAGATTTTTAAGATTTTTCAATTTCTCACTTATGTAATTATTTTTGCTTTTCGTATCCACATTCTCATTAGCAAATTCGATAAGAGCTGGAAAATTTCATGTTATTTATTGCCAAGATAGATTTTCTTCTCCATAGTTATGTACCTGGTATAACATTTCCCAATTGCGTAATAATTTCAACATTAATTGCATCTCTAGCATTTGCTATTATATCTTGAGCAATATGTGAACGATCATCTGAATCGTCCTGAGTACCATCAAGATGAGCGTAAATGAGAGGATATAACTGACAGAGAGTCTGTTGCGGATGTTCTCGAGCACAACGGATTATTACGTTTTTTAACAATTGCAAAAAATCTTTGTTTTTTGAATTCAGATGTGCAGTCAATTGATTGAGAACACAAACAAATTTATAGCTAGGAACTGTGCCGATGTTTTCTTCCATTTCTTTACGTAAGTCTTGATTTCTTTTATTGGCGAACCATAAAGCTATAATGCGATAAATCGCTGGACTTGCCACGGTCGTATCCAGGCAACAAAATTTTATATAATTCTCGATAGCCACACAAAGATTGCGCGTAAGCTTCTCTTGGACCTGATTGATCTCTTTTTCGTCTATGTTGGAAAATCTATTCATAAATGCGACTCCCGTCATCTTATCACGATCGGCATTTCCGCGATTAACACTTTGAACAGCCTGTCTATTATGTTCCACTATTTTTCTTTTCGTATTAAATCGATCGGAATTAACGTATATATGCAGCTAAAAGATTTTTAGAAATGTAAATTATCTCTGAAACACATTTGTTTTTTTTTAAACTAATAAATAGATTAAGTAAAAATATATTATTATATAGTTAGAATATGTTTCTAATTTTTTATTGTCAATATCTTTAAACATGCAGATAGAGCAGCTATCTACACCTCTCAAAATAAATGCCATGGAATTTTTTTACGCACAACACTTAAATTTTACCTAGCAGAACATAATTTCCAAATATTTACGATAAATTATTTTATTTCATTGATAACAACTATAATGAACGATGCAATCATGAAACATCTCTGGCCGAATTCGTAGGTAAAATTTGCAAAAAGCGGCAAGTTACCGATCAATAATGAAAGAAATCAATAAAGAAATAAACGTTTTAAAACATTTTCGATTCAGAGTCACTTTCAGAATCGGCTTAAGCTTGTCTACCCTTCCTTCCTTCTGGCCGTCTTGTTTTCTTATGTTCAACCTACCGGTTACCATCTTTGAGATAAATTTGGTGAAATTTGGTACACTGACGTGTCTTGGCCCAAAGACGACGAACACTATAGAAAACAGCCCGAATCGGAACTTTATTTTGAAAAGTCGATATATGAACCACTGTAAGTTACGATCGAGTATTTAATTTCGTATCGGGCCGCACTGTAGTGTTTTCACCTCCTTTATGTTACAATGTATACAATGCAATCTGTATGGTCAAAATTGCTTACCTGTGTATATTCTCGGTCAGCATATTTTCCGATTGTTTCATAAGCATTTCTCTTACTCTCTGCTTCGATGTTTGGAAATTCTCTTAAATCAAATTGGTTGGGAAATTTCTTTAGGATGGCTTCTTTAGAATTGTCAAATTTTCTTAGTAACTCCAAAGAGCCTTGAAAATATTTTGTTAAAACCAATTCAAATGCTTCGGTGTTGGTTTCCATTAAATATTCTCCATTCATTTGCATAGCACGTACACGTTCCAGACAAGAGTAGTAATCTTTAGAATTAGAAATATGATGGAAAATTGTTTTAGAAATCTCGGCCTTTCCTGTCTTCATGCATATTTCGGCATCCTCGAGCAAAGCGCAAATCTTCGAGATATTACGTGATTCAAATGTTCGTGCAATAGAGTTTCTTTCTTATATAAATACCTTCATTCGATGATTTTCACTAATTGTCGTTTTATTTTTAAGCATGGAAACGTAATGTTTAGCTAAATTAATTTTGCCGGCGTTCTTACATTCATGTATGCATTTTAACAAACATTTTTCAATGGGATCCTCCTATATTTATATTTAGAAATAAGCTGGATTAACGCGACTAAAATCCGAGATTTTATTTGAATGCATTACCTTGTAAAATTCCTGGATTTTACGAGATGTTCGTATACCGGCTGTATTGAATAGTGCAACCTGGTGCGATAAAATCAATTCTTTGGATTGAAAATTCCCATATCGTAAATCATTTGCCTCCATTTGCCATTTTTCAAATGTTTGATTGACGGAGGAGGATTTAAAAAACTGGATCTGTAGATTTAGAAAAGCGTCCAGTGAAAAAACATAAGTTTAATCAAAAAATATATTATCATTTTACCAAACAAAAGTCATCCGCTTGTTGCAACATCTGAAGCCAAGTTAAATATTTATAAACACTCTGCAAACATTCGACACTGATTTCTTTTAAAATGGAAAGGATGCAATCTCTGGCCTTTTTTATAGCTGCTAGGCTATTGTTTTCCTCGCGGTAGTATATACATTTGAGCGAGTTGAAATGATGTTTTTGGAATTCTTCTTCTATATCATTCAATGTATTAACCCGGGAATGACCTTCAACAGCGGTATCCCAACGACAAAGACGCCAACATATTTCGTAATCCACTTTACGATCGCTAGAAATTGCATCGGCAAGGTCAAGTACCCCGTTGTGCTTCAATATCGATGTGAACATGTCGTTATGATCCGTGGCTTCTATTAAAATATCCGCCCAATTATTTGTTAAATTCAAATAATCTAGACGCGATTGAAGGGGGTTTATAAAACCAGATATAGCATCCGTACAGCCTATGGATTCATAGGACTACAGAGAGACGAGAGGAGATATACAAATTTTTTGCTGCTATTTTTGCTATCTTCTCACCTTTTTGGCTATTTCCTGAAAATGTTCATTTGATACGATTTCAAAATTAGTCTTATCAGTTGACGATTCTTTTTCTTGTAAAGACCACATCTCTAAATACATAATAGATAAGAAAAACGCTTGGCAATAATTACAAGCTCTAGCCACATTCAAAAGTTGTAACGGTAAGCACCTGGAAAATGATATTAAGTGAAATGGAAGCAATTATGAAACCTTGTTTGGGAACACTCCTTACCAATTGTTATGAATGCGAATACATTCGCAAATCCGAAGCATCATAGTTATGACACGCTTTTCTTTATAAATTTGTTTTGTTAATCTTGTTATTCCATTGCCGGCTTGATAATGCATAAATTCATTAAAAAAATAATCTAGCATAACAATAATATTATCTACATGCGAAGAGTGGTATTTAATTAGCATTTCCACAAAAGATGTTAAAATACTCTCCGAAAAGTAAAAATCTTGTGTAGCTAAATTTCGAAAATGTGTCCATTCACATTGTTCAAATATTTCGGACACAAACTGACACATCCATGTTTCGCATCCTAAAGTCTCTGAGCGTTTTAATGTTGCCAGCCAATCGAGCGGTTTGAGTTGATCGCGAAAATCTAAATAGTTTTTTTTTAGTACCGAGCGGAAAACATGAAAACAGGGAAAATCAGCTAAAGAATATATAAAAACTGATAAAAAATGCCATTGAAGTTGCTTTTTAAAAAGTGTACTTAATAGTTGGGTTCCCATTTTAGAATTAACCAAATATTGAGCCACGTGAATGACTAGTTCTTCTTTAGCGGCATGAAACGATTGCAGAAGTTTTTCTAATATTATATAGAGCCGTTTACAGAATTGTGCTAATGGATCCGCGGCCACAAACTCCTAGAAAATGAAATTTTGTGAAAATGGCAGATCAAATTTTGAATAATCTCTACATCATCAAACTCAGTGTTCGCTTCAAAATAATGTATGTCTTGTGTCAGATTTAATGGGCCGATCTCTCCCAAACACTTAAGCGCTTCGAAGCAAGTGAGTTCGTGGTGAGAATGTTTTACTATTTGCAATAGCTTTTGCAATAATTTGTATAACAAATTGTTTTCATTTTGCAGAAATCCTTTATGCTTTAAAATCTACAAAATATAGTTTTGAAAATTTGAAGAATAAGTATACTTAACAGCGTTAAATAACTTACATGTTGGTGCAAAACTTTAAGATGCTCAACGCTAACGTAATCTTTACTTTCAACAAATTTTTTCAAAACGCTTTCATATTGGTCGGTATTTTTCGGCTTTTCTAGCCGTACATCACTGAAAAGCTCGTGATCGCTAAACATTAACACCACATTGTATTTATCAGCCGTAGAAATTTTTGCACTTTCAATTAAAGCATTTATAATGTTGACAGTTTTTTTCTGATTTTCGCCACAAGTATTATTTTCGAATACTATTCTTAGTACTCGAAAAATGTAACTTGAATTTAGTTGTACAGTTTCAAGAGATTCGTTTATCTTACAATATTTTTTCAAGAATATCTCTAAAGCAAACAAAGCAAACGACTCCAGTCTTTTATCTGGATCTAAAATTAGATATCAAAAATATATTCGATGTATTAAATAAAGTACTTTGTACGTTCGTTTTCTTACCTTGTTCCAAAATGTATAAATTGAAAAGTAATAAATCACGCGCGAAGTACTTAATGCAAGCACTCGAAATGTTTTTATCATTAAAACTTTCAGTCGCCATATCTGCCAAAACGAAAAATCTATAGAAATCGCCTAAAGTTTCATAATCGAAAAGATTGTCGGTACAATTCTTCTTAATGACTCTAAAAGTTTCAATTAAACTCAACGCATCATTTACCATGACCTTACAAAGCGTGATTTCCGCGTGCTTTGTTCTCGTAGTGACGTACTATAATGATAATAAATCTATTATAATTAAGCACTTATTTTGAAAGCACTTACCTTAAAGGTATCGTAATCAATATTGTACCAGTTTGGGGACTGATAAAACACGGAGAAGCCTAAAACGCTTCTGGCATGGTTATCATCCATAAGCAGTTTTAAGAGATAGTTAAATGTTTGGCTTGCATTCCACGTCTGTGATAAGTTCAAGTTTAACTTCAATATATTTCTTACATTCTCACGTAGATCCGTGTTCTGATTGCTTTCACACTGACCACATAAAACGAAAGCTCTGATCATGGGCGAAGCCACCTAGAGACATAAGTATATACATTAACTCTGGTAGTTCGTTTCATATCGAAATAATCGATTGTTACTTCTATTAGATTCTCTGGTGTTCCATATTGTTCGAGCTTTTGCAGTTCATCGGATTTGTTGTGCAGTAATAAACAGGTTACAATTTCTCTAATGTTATTCTGTATAAAGTCATCTTTAGTTTCATAGCCGAGATAGAAAGGGAATCTAAACACAGATTAGGTGTATAATATTATACTATTTGTCCTCCAGTAAATATATTTGTAAAAGTGAAAAGTTTGCTGTGAACATGACATTTTGCAAACTAGAGAAATTTCGTAAATTGAATGACGAAAATTCGCTTTCTAAGCTGCATAATGCTGAAACAATTTACCATATTCCACTAGACATTAAATAAAATTATCTGTAAAGCTCAAATATCTTTTTCTTAATCACCCTTCGGATTGTGAATATGTTACGTATATTCCTGATCGGCAGAATCTGTTTAAGATGTGTGTAAACTCTTAGGCAGAATGGCAAATTTGATCTCCAATTCTACAAGGCTTTATTTTTAAAAATCATTACCTGAAAACCTGTAGGACGCGGTGTATGATATTTAATCGTACGCCGCGGCTCAATGGCTTTACTTGTTTTTTAATTCCAAACTCTACCCAACAATATTTATTTTAGCTTTTGATTCAATTTGTATCTTTTCGAAGTTGACGTTCATTCAGTTTCAAAGGCGACAGGCAGAAATTATGTTGCCGCCCACTCGAAAAATAAAAGCGAATCATAGGAAAAATGGGACGTACGATTGTAAAATCTATTACAGCACTTGTGATACATGGTATATTAAGTTAGCGCGGACGTATGTAGCACGCAAAAGGGTTTAAGATAGACGCACCTTTTATCGTACCGATCGAATCAGAATCATAATCTCAATTGATCTAAACCTGTCCGACCAGGTAAATTTGCGTTCATGCCACAGGTCACAATTCTTGAGATATTTTGATGAAATTTGGTACAGTGACGTATTTTGACCCAAAGGCGAACGCTATTGAAAATGGGTCCGATCGGTCCGCTTTTTCGAGCGCTTCCCATACAACGTCCTACTCTGCAAAGTCGTAATTTCCAAAATTTACCGACAAAAATGGCTAAGTAGCAGTATTCCGGCATTCTAAATTGATATGAAAACTTTAGACCGGCTGGGGCAATTTTTTATTCTTTCCCATATAACGAAAACTGAAGTTGATACGACAAAAAGGTATAATTTTCAATGCTTCCTGATAAAAATTATGTCGTAATAGTAACATAAAATAAAAAATAATAGTAGTGTAAAATAAAAAAATGAACTGTACCAAATTTGGACCATCTCGGCCTAATTTTGGATCTTATTCTAATAAGGATTTTCACGAAATTGACTCTTTATAGAGCAGAAAAATCAAAATTTTAATATGCGGTGATAAAAATTGGCTCATAACAGTAATTTCATACGAAAATGAACTCTACAAAATTTGGACCATCTGCGCCTATATTTGGATCTTGCCCTATATACGGAATAAACTTTTACTACATTAGGTCGGGGCTTGGGCCCCCGTTTCCCATCAATATGCACTTAAAAAATGTGCCTTTACTTAGAAACAAGGCATAATTTCGGTGTTCTGTAATGAAAAGAATTGTGTTAGACAACGTGGTGTAGCGTATTTAATGGCCGGCCTTGTCCGACTATAATGTTCTTATTTGTTTTTAAATAGTAAATGTGTCCTTGATTGTTACAGTTTGGCTTTCATACCCACCACCGAACAAAGGGGCTATATTCATCAAATTAGTCAAGGGATACGACTCAGCACAAAAATGAAAACATTCGGCCACGTCCAGCTGGGCATGTGCAGAAAGTGTCTATATATTTTTAAAAGCAAAGAAATGGTATTTTGCTCGTCACTCATACACTGCAACGATATTGAATATCCGGTGATGGGTACGGAAGATTTACACCCACAGGTGAATATCATTTTCTTACTTATTATACATCCTATAGAAATTCACGTATATATGAAAAAGGGTATGTTCTTTTTATATTCAATACATACTTTGATATAGGATACGACTTTTTTATCCAATAATCAATGGTATTGAAAATGTATGGCTTTACAAGCTGAGTTAAATTAGTCTTGCAATAATCGGCCACTTTTCGAAAGGCGTGAAGATCAGCTGAAAGTTTTTCAAGCAAATTGGATTTAAACACAAAGCAATGAATAAGCGAAGGCATACCATCTGTTAGTTTATAGAGAGCGCACATATAAAACAATTCTCGCAAGGCAACTTCTCGATGAAAGCAACTGAATGTCAAAAGAGATATGAGTAATTGTGCATTGACTGCGATATCGTTTTGCAACTGATCCTCACTGAATTCAGCGGTTGTAGACATTCGCAACTTTTTCCATTCGATAGTTTTGTACGTGTCATCGCAAAACTCATGATAAATTTCCAAATGTATCTTAGCATTCTCGTGCCAATTTATATCCATTAGAGCAGTTAATGTATTGATCGTAGCAAACTGAATTTCGAGTGAGTTGAATGTTAAAAACTTGACAACTGATAAGCATATATTTTTAAAATTTTCCTGCATAAAGATGTTACGACAACCGCGAGCAATAGTAGACACACTTTCAATAATTCTAGTTATTAATTGGGATGAGTATGATTTGCGAAATGAAATTTTCAGCAATGAAAACACAGCCAGCAGCATATTATCCAGATGATGTTCGTATTGATTAACATAGATGAAAATTGCTATAAATCGAAAATCAGTTTAATTAATGTGCCTATGTGTCGACAGCTTTCAAAACGCCACCTGGTATCATTGAAAGGATATCTTCTATTAACTCGACGTCCGTATGGTAATATTTGAATATGATTTTCAATTTGTCAACAAACCAGTCTGCAATATCCTCACATATTGATTTTTGTGAACACAATATCTGAAATTATGTTTTATGTTAAAGAAATTCGCTTAATAAAAATTCAGCTTACTCGCGTTAAACTCAAAACTGTTTTCACTTCTTCTTTTTTCTTTAAACCAAATGAATAGGAAACTATATGTTTAAATACATCTGGGCAATGAGTAGTGCTGGCGCACAGCATAGCCAATATGCGTAAACATGGATAAGTGACATTGGTAATAGACCAGTCATCATGCTCACTATTTACATTGTATTGCTTAGCTGCAAATAATCAGAAATATTTCGTTGTGCCGCGTACATCTAACAGGATTCTACAAACCAATGTACTTTAGAGTTGAGTCAATAAATTCAATCATCTCTTCTATAGGCTGCATTTCTAAATAATGTAATAATACGGGATCTGTTGTAAAAGAGCTCACAATTTTTTCCAAGATTGTAAAAAGTCCCAAAAGAGCTGAACTTTCAATGTTTTTAGGTCGATTACTCTTAAATTGTAACTGCAACGATACACGAAAATATAATTTTCAGGATTGCTGACAATTTTAAAAGATTTTTTGATTAAATAAAATACCTCCAAATGACTTAAAAATAAACCAATACGTTTTATAAGAGGACAGTCCGTATATGTTTTTTCATCGAAGATCCCATATTGCAGCAATGACTTCATTAATAAAGTCATTTTATAAAGAACTGTTAAATCCATAAGAATATCTTTGGTGGTGACGCTCTTAGACGTTTCATAATTTAAAATATTCATTAAAAACTCATAGTTGCTTTGGAATACGCAATTTTTCTGATCGATTGGCGCTTGCTTTGTCGGAGTATTAACAACGCGCCCATGTCTTTTTATTGCAACAAAATCGCGATTGTATTTGTAGAGTAGCAATTCTAAATTGTTATTCATTTCGCTGCAGTTAGGAGGAGAATCATTGAACTGACTGGCATTAACGATGTTTGTTACAGCGATAGCGCAAGTATCGAAAATCAATTCGGGTTTTATCGGCTCTACGTTCATTAAAATGCTTTTAGCTTCGTTTTTGTCATGCTCGCTACATAGCCACCGGATGCAACGTGTTATGAGTTCGGAAGTTTTATCAAGACCAATCTGATCCGCTTGTTGGAGCATGTGCCGCACAGTAATAACATATTCAGTGCGCCTAATAGGATTTGCCATATATGAAGTCATTAAAGTAACGCATTGACTTGCATTAAGTTTTTGGTGTACAATCCAATCGTTTATTAACAACTGTTTTTCGTAAATTATTTCTGAATCGGAAGCTGTATCAGCTAAGACAAATTCTATTATTTTCAACCACTCTTGGTGACAATAATCTACCGGCAAGGATTTGGATCGCGTAAAAAATGTAGTTTTGACTAAAAGCGTTTTCAGGCAAAGTCTGATATGCCTCAAATTTCTCGCATTTCCATAAGTTCGTAAAATTTTTAGAATACTTTTTAACAAAGCTTGATAATTAGAAATATTTATAATATTGTCGACTTCAACTATTAGTTCAGCTAAAATTGATAGCCTACAATGGAAAATTAATGGTTGATTGTATATATTTAGCAATAAGTTTCTTAAAGTTTACCAAATATCATTGAACTTTCCAGTGGGTTCTTGCAAACGGTTTAAAATAATTTCCAATTTATCGTCAGATCTAGGGAGTTTACAGCGCGATTCCAGCGCATCTCCGGAGGCGTTATCATCCTCCTCTACGCTCCAGAAAACCTTTTTACCATAAAACAAATTTGTTTAATTTAAATTTAAAAAATTAACAAAAGAAAACAAACCAAATAAACAGCTAATGCCGCCAGTTTTGTAAAACTTCCCATATCATTTTGTTTTTGGCTTCGGTTAATATAGTAGTGGCTAGTGTTGCGCTGCTTAATTTCGATTTCAATTAACGTTTTCAGCTTTTTTAAGGTTTTAGGCCAACTCTCGTTTAGTGTTATTTTAATAACATTCACATCGCCCAAATGTATGTAAGGATATAATATCTCGAGAGAGATTAGCAATGATTTAAAAAGCATTTCCTAGAATATGTTTTTTAGAACAAATTCTATACAAAAGCGAATAAAGTACCTTGGTTGGAATTTGCATATTATATTGGTAAAAGCCACACAGAGCAGGTACAATATTCTGTAGGTTATGACATATGGTATGGTGATAGTCCACAAAGTTCTAAGAAAGGTGATAAAAACATAAAACGTTGTCCAATTAAATCAAACATTTTACTTGTAGTACCTGTGAAACCATTAGGTAATAGAGTTTAATTGTATCGGCTTTGTGAGAGTCGTCATTAGCAGCTGCGACGAAATTCGTTACTTCCGGGAAATAAGCCATAACATCGGTGTTCATCAGGACGCATTCCTGACTCAATTCAATGGTTTTGATGATAACTTTTAATGCAGCAAAACGATGAGTATGGTCATCTGCATTATTTGTATCAAAGAGGTAGGATAATATTACTACAAACAAAATTGGACAATGACAACTGCATCAAATTATAGGGAACTAGTAACTCACTGCTAATTTCATTAAGTTTCAGTTCGCGCACATACTTTTGAGATTTAAAAATACCCTGATTAAGAATATTCAAAAATAAATCACTGTATAATCGTACAGCGGCTTTACATCTGAAACCATCCTGAAAGCCTTCAAATAGCGTGTCTTTACTGAGCAGATGTTCGGGCTCTAAAGTATTCGGAAGTTTAAAATCAAAGTAACTTGAACTTAAAACCCTTGAAAGAATACCTTCCAAATTATAATTGATCAGCTTATTAAGGATAGCCTTGTAAACAACACTTTTGTTTCGCATTGACGAGTAGTTTTTCGAATCCTTGACCGCATCGGCTTTAATGGCATGCTTATCAAAATAAATAAATGTTAATATCCTATAATTCCAATACTTTGGTTTAATCGTAACTTTTTTACCTTGATGGTAGCATCGATGCCGCTTTTGAAAATTGTCGTCCACGATACATCGTCATTACGGCGCTTAGCCAGTTGTAAAAGCAATTCACTTTTAGAAGAACTCAAATGATTGTCTAGTTCCTCAGCAGCTTTATTTCGGGTGCTAATTTTTTCCGAGCGAAGCTCAGCGCATAACTTATTTATTACCCCGGTTATATTTGCCATACTTCAGCAATTGCAAGAATTTGTAAAGTTTGTATGATTTGAAATTGCAATTGTGATCGCGAATCCCAAATATAATTCTTAATAAAATATATGTTTACATTTGCTTTCCAGACTCGAATTAAAACGCCGGACAAAGCATGCCAGTACGCACGAAAATTCCAGGTGATTGCCAAAGCAATTGAAATAGGAATTGAAGAAACGAATATTTTGAATTGAAAAATTCGAGTGAGGTAAGGGAACCAGAAGGAATGCCTTCCGAAATAGTTATGAATTGTGTGGCGATACATTAGACTTGTGCGTCGACTATCCTCGAAGTATTTTGTAGAGGGTTTATGCGATATTGGACAGAAAAGTTGTAAACTTGGAATTTCGATTCAAGCAAAATGGTTATATAAGTCATAAGTCAGATTATCGTCATTGCTTTAAGCACTTCACTGAAATCCATTTTATCCCGCAGACGTTTCAATATGAACCATTGTATTTTAAATCTAAAGATTCCAAAAAGGGTTCGTTTCGCTATTTTGCTTACTATTTGGTGTTATTCGTACATATTTTATTTTTCCTACTTTCCATTTGGAACGTTTGGAGTTCGAGCGCTCTCATTACCTAAACTCTGATATCTTCAAAGCTTAAGCTTCGCTGTCAAAACATACTCTACGTTTAATCAAATAAGAATTTATGGCTCAATGTGAGTTCAGATTGAAACGCTTGTATTTGAGAAAATTCTTGGTACACTTTCCATAAATTTATCACTTTTCTACAGTAATTTTTAATCGTTCCTTTAGAAAACTTTCTAATATTGAAAAACTTATATTTAGCATGCTCCATTTCTATGTACCGCACATTCTGTTCACCTTCCGTTAGCTCTTAAAAAGAATTCATATGACTTCCAACTTTCGTATATTGCTTGAGTCGAAGGCCTAAGTTAAATGAACCGATTGAATTCGAAGGAGGGACGCATAAATATTATCCGTCTTGTTGACATGACATTTTAAATACTATGTCATGTATGCCAGAATGTATTCTTTATATTTACATGCCGCTTGGATTCCGTGTTGTCACTTGTTTTATACTCTAAGCGTTATGGTACCACTTGTCCTATTGTGCCCTGGGGATATATAAATTGAATTTCGCGTTATGACTTAATGGATTGTTCTTTAAAAGTGGCATCATTGTATAGCGCAATGTACCAGATCGCACAAAAATACAATCCCAGATTGATTCCTAATCTAGAAATGGGAGAGTTAAAATTTTATCACATAAAATATATTGTAACGTAAAATGTCCTCCGCAATTTTACATTTCTTATTCAACTTTTTTTGTGATTAAGTTCGCACCACTGAATTTTGGGCTGTCGTGTAGTGTCACAAGCGTAATGAACTCGTATGAACTGAATAAGTGATCTATATGAATATGCCAGTACCACGATCTACCACAAGAACTATATGAGACGAGTTGTAGTTTGCTGAATTTGCATTTGCAGAGGTCATTGCTCTTATAGGAAGTCTGATATGGGAATTCTTTGAATAACTCCTAACTGAAGAAAGTAATAATAAAATAATTATAAATAAATAACAAATAATACTAGATACGTAAATAAATAAATAATAAAAATTTATTATTTGACATTAATTCCATTAAAAATTCTGAAACAATTATTCACATTTTGCCATCTCGCAATATAATATGTGGTAGCATATAATTGGCAGACATTGTAACTAAATTAAGGCTAAAATTACCTGTATCAATGGAAAGCCGCGCTCGCCCGTACGGAAGGGAAAAATAGAGGGATCTATGCAAATGTAAGCAACTAGAACGTACCCTGAGAAATAAAAATAGAGAAATCAACATAAATAATAAGCGTTTTGATCGATTAGTGAAATAAAGAATTTAATAAAAGGCAACGATCATGGACTTTACTGACTTTTGTGTCTTTTCCATTATGTAGGCTCATTTAATAATTAATGGTTTTTTTTTCTATCGACCCAAGAGTCGATTGCAGACGCTATCATCACTTACCCCTTTCGCGGGTTTTAAAAGGCTTTTTCTGGCTGTATTTCTGCTTTTTGAATTCGGACATTTACGCGTCGGCTGTTGATATTGTTTATAAGTTTAGTCAGCTGTTAATGTTTTTTTCGAGTGCATTGAAAAACTAGACTTATTAGTTTTTATTAAATTAAAATTGAAAGTTTAGTCATAATTATAGAAACACGTAATATTCATTTTTTATCAATCTATTTGTTATCATGGACAGGCAATGCTGTTCTGTGTAATTCATTATATATCAATTATAACGAGGAAACGGTATTTTCTTCTAATTCGTATGATTAGTTCATGTATTGACATGGTGCTGATGGTTTCTCCTTTATAGGTTTTTGCAAAAATGACATTTGAATTAAAATGGTTAAATGTGTCATGGGATTGGAATCAATTTTGTGTGACCGGGCTACGGCCATTTGGAAGCGGCTCAAGTGATTTGCTACCTTGCTTCCAAGAAATTGTTCTACAATTTCCTACATATACTCTGTTTGCTGCTGTCTCGGCATACAATTTCGGTATTTATAATCGCTGTGTGGCACGCAATCGTACCCAATTAATGGCTATAAATATTAGGGCCTTATTATCGCTGCTCTTGGCTCTTCTCGCTGGTATCAAACTTGAAGAATTTTATCGTTTGGGTTCTACATTGTACGCCTCTGATATATTAGTGGCCTGTAGTGAAGTTTTAATGTGGCTCGTACATAGTGGTAAATATGAACTCATTCCTTTTAGATGTTAAAATTTGATTACTTGTATTATTGTGCATAGGTTACCTTCTATCTTCGCGGCGGTGCGGTGTACTGAGTCATCGTGGTTCCCTGGCTATACTAGTACTCTGGCTGGCTATTTTTGTCTTGGATGCTGTGTGGTTACGTTCCAGCCGTAATTTTGATTGGTGGCCATGGAGTCTTATCACTTTCCTGTTGGATGTTTGCTATTTAACAACTTTATTACCGAAGGGTCGTGCTATCTACGTACCATTCCGTCATGGTAATGAGAGCGACGGCAGAGATAATAGTGAACAAGCAGATAACGAAAGTAGCGCGTTGCTTGCCCGTCGTTACACATACTTTCACTTTGACTTCCATGAAGTTCATTTGGGTCACGCCCAAGACGAGGCCAATTTATGTTCACGTTTTCTGTTTCATTGGGTGGACCCGTTAATATCGAAAGGTGTTGCTGGCAATCTGAAGCGTATTGAAGATTTATTCGATCTACCGGATGCTTTAAATATATCGCGAATTAGTGAACGTTTTCAAACCAGCGTATCGTCAACAAAGAAGTTATTTTGGGCTTTGCATAAAGTGTTTGGGAAAGAATTCTATTTCATTGGTATTCTGAGATTTGTGGCTGATATATCAACGTTTGCAGGACCCCTGTTGTTAGGCGGTTTATTGGCACAGGAACCAGCTCATAACGACCACGATGAAGAGGTGAATTGGCAGCCATATTTATACGCTTTTGGTCTATTTTGCACCCAGTTATTGTGTAGGTCTCGATTACTTAATTAATGCATTAAAGATTACGCTTATGCTTATTGAAATTATAGATGCCTTTTGTTCCACGCATTTCAGTTGGCGTATGTCTATGGTTGGCATGAAAATGCGAATCGGTATGGTTAGTGCCATTTATCGTAAATCTCTGGAGGCGAGAGGACTTAAAAATACACAACCTGAAATACTCAATCTTATGTCTACGGACACTGATCGTATCGTGAATTCTTGCATATCGTTTCATTCTTTCTGGAGTATACCGTTCCAGCTCTTTACGACGCTCTATTTATTATATACACAATTAGGTGCCGCCTTCGTAGCTGGCGTAGTATTTGCCGCTTCTCTTATACCTATTAACCGTTGGTTAGCGAAACGCATAGCTGGTTATTCACAAGGTTTAATGTCAGCTAAAGATGCTCGTCTTTCAACCACAAAAGAGGTTATAAACGGGGCGAAACAGATTAAGCTACATGCCTGGGAAGATGTTTTTATAAAAAAAATAAGAGCTTTGCGTCAGGGAGAAATAAAATTCTTATCAAAACGTAAATATTTAGATGCGTTATGTGTGTATTTTTGGGCCACTACTCCAGTATTAATGTGCTTTTTTACATTTGGTGTTTCCGTATGGATGGGAAGCTCTCTCCTAGCCACTACCACTTATACAAGTGTGGCCCTATTAAATTTACTTATAGGGCCATTGAATGCATTTCCATGGGTCTTGAATGGCTTGGTTGAAGCATGGATCTCTATAAAACGTGTTCAAGAATTAATTGATGTAAGACATTTCAATTATAAAATGTTATTATGCATTAAATTTGTCTCGTTTTTTATAACACAGTTACCGGATTTGGACTTCGGTTCTTATTACGATCCAGTTGTGAAAGATAATTCCGCCGTTGATCTGGCGAATGAACCTCCGGTAGTTTTGCAATTAAAAAATGCCAGTTTTGAATATGATAGTGTACAAAGTGATGAAAATAATCCGAGGCATAATTTTCGTTTGGAAAATATTAATATAATTATAAAAAGAGTAAGAGATATTGCTGCTCGACAGCTGCTATTTTACTTAATATTCTTAATATTATTTTTTTTAAGGGTGAACTGATATGTATTAAAGGTCCAGTAGGTGGTGGCAAGAGCAGTTTTATAGCAGCATTGGTCGGTGATATTAATTGCCTTAAAGGCTCGATTTGTGTGCAAGATATAAGTTCAGGTGAGTTTCAATATAAAATTTTGCTCTAAAGTATTTTCAAAATATTTCCCCTGTTTTAAGGTTTTGGTTATGTACCGCAATCACCTTGGCTGCAAAGATGTACCATACGTGATAATATTATATGGGGCAGTGTTTTTGATGAGCAGCGATATAAATCTGTTCTCTACGCGTGCGCTTTGTGCGAAGACATTAGGAATTTGGGCGGCGATTTGGCGGGCGTAGGTGAAAACGGTCATACCTTATCCGGCGGTCAAAGGATACGTCTTGCATTAGCAAGGGCTGTTTATCAAAATAAGAAAGGCAGGTTTTCTTTATTTATATAAAACAGAAGAGATTCATTAAAATTGCAGAAATTTGTGATCAGTGTAGATAGCGAAGCCTATTTTGCCATGTCAGCCGTAACTGCGATCTCTAAAGTTATTAACAAAAATTAAATATCCAAATTTTTTCTCTATATTTTGATTGATCCAAGTGATATTTTGTAATATTTATAAAACATGACGCTAATTAGCGTGTTATGTTTGTACCATTTTTATATACTTATGCTGGAACATTCGAATTTCATTGACGTTTCATTCGAAAAGGAGTCACGTTGCTACCATTCTTTAAAATACTTATTATATTATAATGTACTATTTATAAGGATAGAAATAGAATAGGAAGTCACGAAACTTGTCTAAACCGAGTACAACTTTTACTTTGTCTTACTCGACTTTTTTTCTTTTCCTATAATTTTCAGTTTATATATTTGATGATATCTTAGCTTCTTTGGACGCCCATGTCGCTAATCATATTGTGAAAAATTGTTTATTGGGTTTGCTGAAGGATAAGACTCGTATTATTGTAACCCGCAGTGTTACTTTATTCTATTATGCTCACAAGGTATTTCTTTTTTAATTTTTTCTAAGAAATTGGCATAAAGGGTTTTCTTTTAGATTTTGAACATCGAGAATGGCACAATAGCACTTAATGACTATATGTCAGAAAGTATTGATTTGAGTTTGGAGGATAGTAGCAGAGATGATCTAAATAGTGGCGTAGATTTGGAATGCATAAAATCGATTGATTTGAAAACACCATATGTCGATCAGGAAAAGAAGAAACTTGACGATTTAATGCTGGAGGAGTCTCGGGAATTCGGTTATTTATCTTCAAAGGTATTCGCTTGCTATTGGAAAGCAATTGCCAATCCTTTGGCTATTAGTGTCTTGCTTTCGGTACTATTAATGCAAGTTACTAGAAATTTATCGGACGCCTGGTTGGCTCATTGGGTTACCGATACTACATTGCATAGTAATAAAAATTTGTCTACTACTCCGGGGTATGTAGCGAGAATGATGTACAAAAATGTTAACAACGGATCTGTGGCTCCGCATAGCACTAGCTTTTATTTAGGTATATACGCCTCGTTAACTTTAAGCAATACGCTGCTTACATTAGCAAGAGCGTTTCTTTTTGCTTACGCTGGTTTGAAAGCTGCCAAACATATACATGAGAAATTACTGCATGCAGTTATGTATGTAAGTAAACATTTTTTATATAATAAATTTGAATTCATTTTTATTTCTCTCTTTTTAGACTAAATTCAATTTCTTTGACATTACTTCCGTGGGTCGAATTTTGAACAGATTTTCCTCGGACACATACACTGTAGATGATTCCTTACCTTTTATACTAAATATATTTTTGGCACAGTTGGCGGGTCTTATAGGCGCGGTTAGCATTAGTTTATATGCAATGCCTTGGCTAGGTTTGATTGTCCTTCCAATGATACCAATCTATCTGAATTTGCAATATCGATACCGTCATGCATCGCGGGATATTAAACGCCTGTCAACTAATGCCCTATCCCCATTGTATACTCATTTCACAGAGACCATACAAGGTTTAGTGACTATTCGTACAATGCGGGCCAGCGTTCGTTTTCAACGCGATTTTCTTACAAAACTAGAGGAAAGTATGAAAGCTCAATTAACTGCTTCAGCCGCCCAAAGTTGGTTAAGCTTACGTCTGCAATTATTGGGTGCTCTGCTGGTGGGAAGTGCTGGTTTATTAGCGTCCGTTACTGCAGCACATGCCACTAATCCCGGTTTAGTTGGTTTGGCCATATCTTACGCTTTATCGATTACTAGCTTATTAAGCGGCGTATTAAATGCGATAGCTGAGACTGAACAAGAATTAGTCGCCGTAGAACGTTTACATCAATATTTAGAACTAGATGGTGAGGATCGTTCTGGAACTATAATAAATCCTCCATTTGGTTGGCCTAATCAAGGCGTGTTAAATTTCAGTAATGTTCAATTTCGCTATCGCGAACATTTACCACCGGCTTTACATAATTTTACGTTTAAGACCGAGGCGTTCGAACGTTTGGCTATAGTGGGACGTACGGGGGCCGGAAAATCATCAATTTTAGCAGCTCTGTTGCGAGTAGAACCAATAACTGGTGGAGAAATTAGTTTAGATTTTGTTAATTTAAAAGAGTTATCTTTGAATATATTACGAGATCGCATTGGTTTAATAACACAAGAGCCATTTTTATTCGAAGGCACAGTGCGTGAAAATCTGGATCCTCGGTCAACCTACCATGACACAGAAATTTTGCATGCTATTACGAATTGTACAGCTATAACCTATTTAGTGCAAAATCTAGGAGGTTTGGATGGAAAACTAGAGAAAGACGGCAGCAATTTATCGGCTGGTCAAAAACAACTGATCTGTCTTGCCCGAGCGCTTTTAAAAAATTTTAAAGTCATATGTATTGACGAAGGCACTTCCAATTTAGACAAAGATAGTGAATTTGCTATGCATCAAGCTTTGCATAACTGTTTTAAGCATTCAACAATTATACTTATAGCTCATCGGCTGTCGAGCTTAAATAGTGTGGAAAGAATTATTGTTATGGATCAAGGTGAGATTAAAGAGCAGGGAACCCCGGAAGAATTGTCAAGAGACACCACAACGATATTCCACAGCATGCTGTTAGCTCAACATATAAATATTGAAGAGTTTTGCAAAAGGAAATAAACACTGCACACTTAACGCAGTGACAGTGACTCAACTGGCTGTGAATGGCATTGCCTTTGCTGGCTATTTCCATGTTTACTTTGTATTTTACTTTTCTGCTTTGGTTAACAAATAAACGAGCAAGAATAAGCTATTCAATGTAATGCTTTTCAAGTACTTCTTTCGCGCTTATATTGGTAGAACAAATTGAATTATTCGGAGTACAATATGAGATGGTCACAAAGCCAAACAGTAAGAATTGTATTGGTGTTTTTCTGGATTTTCTCGAAGCAATCATGGAATTCATCGGTGTATATTGTTGGCTGTGAGGCAAGAAATAAATCATTACAAGAATTTCCACGTATTCTTCTTTTTTTCAGTCTTTGTTTATATAATACATGTGTTTTGTTTTCTTTTTCTAATAAAATCAATAAAATTTTTATTTAACAACATAAGTGGAATGCGATATTTATAACACATACTCGAAATGTACACATTCATACGATGTAGATTCCTGTGTAACGATTATGTGTCATGTATTTATGTATCACATACGTCAATTAACAAATGTGTATAAATCGTGACAAATGAAGCGTACGTACATATGTGTTCTTTTATAAATAAATCGTTACCAATTAATATCATTATATTACTGTATGGTTCATTATAATGAACTAAGTTATAAATCGAGGGTAAACAATTGCATACATACATTTTTTGTGTGTATATACTTTTTTTTAAAAATAATTCAATAGCATGATGTATTTTATCAAAAATTTTGTTTCAAAAATGTTTTCTTAAAATCTAAAACACTTCAAATTTTGTTCCTTTATACGATGATAATTTTACGAGTAAAAAAATTTTGTTAATTTTTTTTTACATTCAGAAAAAAAAAATTCACTTAGAATATTTTAACAACTAGGGGAATTGCAATATTTAGAACTAAAAAGGAAAACAAAGTCGACATGTCTGCTAAGAATTGATAACTTGAATTCATTTACAGATATATCTTATCATATTAACTTCGTTGGTTAGGAGGAATCTGCTTAATAAAGTGTTGCAAATTTTACATTGCGCAAAATACGATGTGCTTTAAGGTGAGTCTTTGAATTTTAAAACATATATATTTTGAGCGTAAATTAGTTTCTACAATTTCCAAGCTTAGTTGTATTAAATAAGTTTTATAATTTGAATCTTTCATTTTTTTTTTCGCATACTTTTTAAATAATTTTCCCTTTTAAATTATTTATAAAATTGACAAGAAACCAGGCAATTGAAACAAATGGAAATATTAAAACACATTTTGAGCGCTGGATAGTTGGAAGGTATTATGGGCTAGGAAAAATGGAGGTGAAAAATAATGAATCTATTAAAAAAAAAAAAAATCTAATAACTAAAACCTCGGAAGAGGCGAACGAAATCTAAAAAGAATTAAGGAAAAATTTTAAATTTAGCGAACTTATAAACATTTCTTTGCCAATCTAAATGGGAATTACGGAAATGAGTCGATTGAAAGTTTGTAGGATAACGTTTGGTCAATTTAAATAAAAGTATTTCTTAAATGTGCCACGAATGTTACGAAAAAGATGACGAAAGTTGCTTAAGATATTTAACTCATTTACAAATTGCAGTCCGTAGGCGATAAGTTGATTATATATTTGACGTCTCGATTTGGGTTATTTACTGCGATAATTGTAAAGCGTTTCTTTTGGTTCGCCAGTGATATGTTCGAAGTGATAATTTTCAAATGGTGGTTCACTTAATAATTTATTAAATTCAGCCTCAAAAGCAGTAATAGATTTTTGCAATTTTACATCATTATTAATCTGGAAATGAAAATTGCCTTTTTAGGTACTTATCAAACATTGATTTAAAAACAAAAAAAATCTTCCAATTAGTATTCTTAAGATTAAAACAATTCCCAAGTTTGTCTACCCAAAATGTAGAGTTCTTTTTCCAGTTTTTGTAAAGCTCTTCGTAAATTGGTTTTAACGAAACTATTAACTATTTGCTAAGTGTATTGAGAAAATGTCTACGATTAAAATGATGATCACCAAACGAGAGCATGTAAAGGATGTAAAGGATGTAAAGCAATCGGAAAGGGCCACCATGTGGTGGACAGTTCGACTAAGGCTGCTTGCAACGCATTAACTGACTATATTCATTTCTGCAGACAATTATGTAGCAATTTTTCATCTACAATAATTAGTGCCTTAATAATGAAAATAACAACATTTAGAAATTTTCCTTTTTTCATGCTTTTGATATTAGCCATTGATATTTGATACTTGTTAGTTATCGCAGAGTTAGTATTTATCGTCTTAATTTGGGTATGGAACACTGTTCTATCTCACTTTTCGGTATTTTTTAAAATTTCAGCAAAAGAGGACAAATGAAGAATGCAAAATTCAATTGACTTTGAACTGTGAACATGTTAATCAAAAATACAAAGAATGTAATTAGTTATAATTAATAAGTATGTGAAAATTCTATTTTACCCTACTTTTACCATCCGAAATCAACCGCAATTCGCAACAATGCCTATCATCAAAATAAACAACATTCCCTTAAAAAGGGGAAAGGCGGGAACATTTCATCATCAAGAATTTTACTTTCGATAAAAAAGTCTTGCCCTCTTTCGAAACCACTAACTTCAACATCACTGCGTTTACCCGTTTAACCGAAACAAATTTGCTGGCCTTTAATCTTTTTTTTTTATATTTTCGGTAGATTTACCTTCAAAAACTCTTTGCCGGAATAAATGATTTTCTTAACGTCGTATACAACCTCATAAATATGTTGGTAGCCACCAACTTGACATTTTAATATGATCGAACGCACATCCATGAAATCAGATTTATGCTTGGCTATGAAATCGGGAAACTGCAAATGTATACAAGCAAAGGGAGATTAAGTTCGTTTCTTTTGAATTTTTATACAAACTTACATAGTTTTGTGTGAATTGAAATTTAAAAAATAAATCTGCATTTTTCATGGACATTAAACGTTCTATCATAATATTAAGTTTTTCTATTAGATCTTTGCTTAGTTGCCTTGGCGGTCCGTTTGGGTCAAAATCGTTGGAAAATTCCGTGAGATTCTGCTCTAAAACACGTAAATCATAATTCAACCAATTGGGCGGAATTTTCTCTTTGATTTTCAAGTATTCTGTTGTAGCGGTAGCGGCAGTAACAACAGCTGCTGCGGTTGCATCTATTTCAGTTGGTGTCCAAAATTCGGATAATTGTTCATCAAAATATTGCTCCAGAGCCGAGTTAGTAGCCAGCAAATGCGACGTCGGCGTCGGTATACGATTGCCAGAAGGTGATGGAGATGATGAATTGGACGAACCGGGCGTTTGACTAGCTAATAAAGTTTCCTTCTTAATGGGATTATAAGTGCCAGTTTTAAAATAGGTACCATTAACAGTAGCTTGACGCTGACTGCCTTCAGAATCTTCGACCATTGTATACAGATAGTTTTTGTTAATCGAATTTTGCTGAGATTTCTCCGAGGAAGAATTCAAAAAGTCAAATGAGTCATCGAGCAAAGAATTGACCGGCTGCAATAGTTTTATAGGCGTACTATTGCCGTTGCGGGTGGCGGCGCCATCAGATTTTTGATAAGCATTTTTTTGTGATTGTACTAGGTTATCGAGATTAACAAAAGATTTAATCAAATTTTCTATAAAATCCATAGTGGTGTCTTGCCAAGCAGCAAAACTGGCAGGGAAGTCCGGACTTAGAGCGGCTTTGACTTTATTCAAACCTTCAGGTGTGTTGTACACATACCCTTTTATAATAATCCAAGCATTTATAACACGTGTAAAAACAAATATAAAATCTTTAACAGCCCAGGCTATGCCTTGCGAATTGATGTTAGGCAAGACTCCATCAGGACGTATTAAATCCTGCTTCATGCGAGCGCATAGACTGTCAATTTTTTTAAAACACGGACGATTACGATGAATATAAGCCAATTTCTCAGCAATTTCACTGCCACGCAACGCCAGACGAGTCAATTCGTTAAACTTAGCTTGAGATAAAGTAACTGTGCCACTGCTACTGCTGCTACTACTAGCTGGTGAATTGGAATTCGTAGCATCGCCACCGGCACCATTGCCAACATTGATCGAGTTTTCACTGGGTGTAATTGTGGTTTAAAGGCATTACATTTTATATTCTCTTTTAAAAACGCTAAACAAACTTACTCTGAACTCAATAATATAGGGGAACTCCTCAAGGATGATGAAGATTCTATTTAAGGGGAAGAAACGTTGGAAATTAGTTTCATTCACAATAATATAAAACATAAAGAAAATGTAATAAAATATGGTAGCACCTTAATTATTGCTTTGCGCAAACGGAAGCTGCATTTCATTTTAATTTTTATTATGAAAATCTTTTCCTACCTTTACCATCTTTGTCACTCGTTTGACTGGTTGCACCACAGAAATTCAATAAATTCACCTTAGTTAAGGTGTCGTTCATGGTATTAAAGTTCAATGGCGTGTTCTGTGAAACACATTGCAATCCAATCTGAATGTTGATCTTATTAGAATCGTTGCTAATATTCGGATTGTTGGCGGGATTTGAATTATTAGACAAATTTGAACGTATGGTGGTCTGTTGTTGCTGTGATTGAGGCGGATGCTGAGGATGCAACAGTGCTTGATTTGTCGGAGTTACGGCATTTGAAGTTGAAGATACCGGCGTAAGTGTACATTGTTGGGGCCCTCCATATATAGGAACAGCAGCGTACGGCAAAGTACCGGCTAAAGCATAGGGCAAGGCCATATTCGGGGCAGGCAACATTGGCGATAGAAAAGTAGCCGGACCATAAGGCCATAGGGCATGCATTTCTTATAGCGAATGTAAAAAAAATTATAACAATAAAAACAAAAAATTTACATAAAACGATCTAACGATAAACATTTTACTGTTTTCCGCGCTTACCTTGATTTATCATGTTAGCCAAACGAAGACGTTCCATTTGCTGTTGCTGTTGCTGTTGTTGTGTTATGGAAGACAACGTCGTTATGGGGGAATTTATGTTCGAGTTTTTGCCAGAGTTTGCGACCAGTACTTGTTGGCTTGAAGTCGGATTTAAGTTACTATTATTGTTATTGAGACTATTAGATGAATTTAAAAATTCGGTAACACTTCCGTTGCCCAATATTTTGCGAGCTTCAAATAAATTAATGAAATCAAATATTAAATGAAAATTTTCTAATCGAATTCCTATTCCTGGTTAACTACGATGTTTGAAATTATTCTTCAAAGAAATTCAAAGTGTATCTTGTAATTTTTTTTTTCAAACTTTGACAGCCTGAGCGGCAAACGTCATTATCAGGTGTAGAAATTTTTTTTTTTATTAAAAAGGAATCTTACGTTTTTTAGGACGTAATTGTTGTTCATTCATTATGTTTTTTTTTAGGATTTCCTCGCCTTAATTACTTAACGCTATCAAAGGAAGAGGAAATTTTGGAAGATAATATCTTTGTGCGTCTTTTTTTCTGGCGCTTGTCTGATGTGGTCCAATTAGGTTTATTTTTGCACTTTTTCCTGTTCCGTTTTTATGGATTTTAATTTTTTTAAATTTTAATTGCGTTATATCGCATTAACACATTTACAATAAATATTGGTAAAAAAATATATTTTATATTTACGAAACACGAGATATTTGCGAGAAACTAACAAAAGGAACACTGAAAAATAATAGGAAAAACTTTAAATAAAAATTTCGCGTCTTGGCTTCCGTACAATTTTTCTGTATTTAAATAAGGCGGCTGACTGACATTGTAAATAAATTTAAAGTTGCCGTATCAGCTGTCGTTGTGAATGGTAAAAAGCTGACAGATTATCAATACGTCTTGAATGCTTCGCTTAATAAGAGTATGCATTTGTTTGGCTGTGAAAAAGAAAAACCTTATATTCTGTGTGAAAAATGTGTGAAAATGAAATATTAAATAATAAGAATAAACAGAATGTTCGTTGTCGTTACTGTAATTCATTAATTTTACGTAAGGAACAGGGCGAATACTTAAAACTACAAGTAAATGATTACAAATTGCAATTGATATGAAGTTTCTCAACAGATTTATTCATTGTAGATTGATTTACCTTTAATGCATCAGAAGAATACTACTAAAGATGTGAACACCATTGAAACTGAAGAATTAGTTGATTTTTGGTTAGTTAATGACATGTTCATCTTTGAAAATGTTGGTTTTTCTAATACGGTTGGTAAAAGAAAATATCTGATATGTGCCGATTGTGATATGGGCCCAGTCGGTTATCACGATATTGCCACCAAGAAATGCTACTTGGCAATGCAAAGAGTGCAGCATGGAAATGAACTGGTCAAAATTGAGAATGCACTTACATAGTGTCGCGAAAGTGAAAAATAAATAATTGATTTAAAGGTTAGAATTTGTAATTCCGCGTGTGTGCTTCTCAATATCTACACTTGAAAAACTTCTGCATAAGTAGTGGTATTAAAAGCTTAGTTTATATAAACTTTTGTATTCAAATAAATCGCATGAACGGCAAAATTCTTGTCTTTTAAATTTATAGGCTAAATTTGCAGATATTTTGTTTCAATATTTTCGATATCTATTAAGCAAATCTTAACCACAAAAGCTTTTGCATCAAATTTTAGTTCAATGACTTGTAAGTAATTAACGTTATCTCGTAAGACCGTTTGCCATTTTGCAGCGTAAATCGCAGACATTTGTTAAAACCAATCCCTGGGTTCCATGTGCTTTTTGAATTGTCGAAGGTGACAGGTGTTTGAAAATTTGCCTGGTGACATTACATAAACGGATGTTCTTGATACTTATATTGATATGGAAGTGGTTCGAATCAGAAAGCTTTTTTACGCCTTATTTGAAAAAGAGGTATGTAGGTAATTATAGGGTGGTATTGTAGGGTATACCAGTGGGCCGTGCCGTACTATAAGTGTTTTCATTTGCTTTCATATGCTTCTACTGGTCGTTTTGGGAGAAGCGGTAGCGAAAAATTGAAAACGAAATTTGGTGCAGTCAATGAATGATGCTCAGTTTTAGTTACCTTCGGTATTTGTGAGTTAAGGTTAATCTATAGATTTTAATGTGACTATTAATAATAGGCCGGAAGGGCAAATACCGATTTCATTGCCAGCGCTGAATGAGAATATATTTTGTGACGTTCCCGATGAGTGTTTCTGCGCTTTATAATAATCCGATGTTTTGAAACATTTAAGAAACCACAGACAAGGTCCTGTTCATATATAGGCCGTCACCTTTACTTTTCGTTTATTTCGCTAACATGAATAAATAACGCAAAAATTTTTCTTTGGTTTATTTATTGAGAGGATATAATGTTTACCATAAATAAAAATGAATGAAAATATGCAAAAGTCCCGAAATATTTAGCTGCAAAACAATTCAATAAAATTCGATCGATAAAAAAAAGGGAAATAATAGCACAACTATTTTTATTAATTAGTTATTTCATCTATAATAATCTTTTGGCAGTTGGTCAGTTATGTGTTACATTCATTAGTGTGTTACAGTCATTCATGGACTAGTGTGCAAGTTTGATTGTGGATTAAAACATGATGGTGTGTAAAAATTACAATAACAATTAGGTTGGCTGGAAAGAAATTTCAAAAAATTTCTTTAAAAATCGTACGTTGAAATTGCTTTCTTACCAACTAAATACATATCTACAGCTAGGGATTCGCCGAACGAATAATAAGGAGAGCGGGAGATAGAGATATATTTAGAGAGAGACAGAGAGAGAGAGAGAGAGAGAGAGAGAGAAATGTTTCTCGATTTTTTAGAAAATTTTTCTTAGTCTTGTTTGTTTTTCAATTTGTGTTTATTGACAAGCTTGATTTTAATTTTGCGCTAAATTTCAAACTGTTTTTCAATGAGTTTTTTCTTTCTTGTTACTAGCGATCTTTCTTCTCAAACTTAAAATTATCATTATTATATTAATATATTATAAAAATTAACATATTTTAGTGTTTGATTTTGCTTTTTGTTTCATGTTCTCTTCTTTATCAAATAAAATTTTTGTCTAAAAAGTTATATAATAAATAAAAAACAAATCGTATATATATATTTTGAACGGTAGGTTTTTATATACTGATGAATTTTCAATATTCTTCGGGATGTTGGCTTGGTTTGTTTCTTTTCTTTAAATTCTTAAAAATTAAATTTAGAAAAAAATTTCTATATCGCTTTTTCTCTTTCAAATAAAGCTATTTTAAAAATATTTATTAAAAACTGCAGAGTATATGCTAAAACTTGTTAAAATTTTTCTTCACCTTTATACTTCTTATTGGAAGATAGATCACTAAAATGGGCGTTTCTTTGTAACATCAAAAAATACCCATTCCAACCTATGCTTAGTAATACGTAGTAGATCCTAAAATGATTTAGTTGTTTGTTCGATTTTGGAATCTTCAGAGACGGAAACAATGACTGCTGCAGGCCAGACTTATATCTATGCAATGCATACGAAATATTCTTTTAATTGGCTTAAGCGGTAACGTGGAACTTACAGCCCCGTTGTTAATGTGAAATTTAGGGTAAATGATTGACACAACAATAGTCGGTGAAGAAGAAGCTGTAGCTGTAGCTGTGCAGAATTCTGAGCACATAAGCGATCTAAAGCTTGGTTCGTTTTGCAAGGATTATAAACATGGGTCGTGGTTCTGTATAACGAGTAAACTCGATCGTAACTTGAAGACGTTACTCGACAGCAATTTTCCGAGCGAAAGATTTTCCATCTGATTGTAAGAAAAATGCATATTTAATCGATAGGTGTAGCCTGTCGAGAGCCATAAACGGAAACCAGGGTCGATCGATCAACAGGCACGCAAAGGCTTCTTCTTTTATACATTGCTTTGAGATGGGAAGTATCAAAGATTCGTCCGCAAGAGGAATAGAACTTTTCCAATTATTTTTAAATAATATCTAACACATTTTTTGTGTTCAGCTACTTTCACACGTTTTCTTTTTCTGGTTTTATTTGCTTATCGTTAAAAGGAAATCGGCATTGATGAGGCATAAACCATCTATCGGGTCGAAATATATGAATAATAAATCCGGTCTTCCAATTAAGCCACCAAAGTGTACAATTGTTCCATATTGCCGATGCAGTTGCGCCCCGCATCGTTCTGTGAGAATATCCTATGAAAATAAAAACAGTACATATCCACGTCTTATTAAATTTTATTCCTTATTGAAATTTTTATTTTTACCTATAATTCAACATATCCTTCGCCATTTTACAAATAGTTATGCGATGCAATGCGAAAAATACTTTAAATTATATCTAGAAATGTTGTCTACGTCGTACATATGCGTGGGTGCTTTCGTTAAAATGATTATTTTTATGCATAATAATATGTAAAACAATTAACTAATTAAGAGGATTGAGTAAACGAAAAATTGAAAATAGAAAGCGTAAAAACATTTCATGGAGAAAACCAAAATAAAAAGTTTTTGTTTTTTTTAATAACATTTTCAATGCTTTTAGACCAACTGCTTTAATATTGAAGCCAAACCGACGAATAATGAAGTAACTACAACAACCATCGTAGTGGATTGTAGGCCAGCGACAGCGTTACAATTATCGGTATCACAGGAGCACACTACTTGACGGCCACCGAAACCAGCTCGTTGGTAGCAATAATTGGTGGATGTCTGATTTTGAAAACCGCATGTCCGAATAACACGACTATCGGGCGGCACTACAAACAAAGTTTTTACTTCAGTAGTTCTATGAACATTACTTTTTAATACTTTTACTTACAATTATTGACTGAAAATTCGATAATCTGTGTAATCTTGCGGCAATACGTTGGTATACCTTTACCTCGGGTTGGATAATCCTCCTGACAGTCTTTTAATAAATTATCTGGAGGGATCTCTAAAGCGCAATTGGCATCCTTATGACTATTGCACACATAACATTTGATAGCAGTACCTGCAATAAATTGAGAAATGATATAGAAAATCGGCTAAAAAATAGTTGATAATATTTATGGTTGTGTATAAGCTTGGAACATAGTACCCTTGAACTATACATTTTCTTCATGTACATGTATTCAAAACAAGATCTTTCAGATATACATACGGAAAGCACTCAATCTCACGAATGAAAACTTCTACACAAAAGATTGTCCTTGTAACATTGATGATACGAATTCATACTATATACTCGAAGTTATACTTTCCGGAAAAGCTTAAAACAGTAACGCATTTCACGAAAGCCTGGTCCACTCCTCTGATCATAAAGGTGGAATATTAGAAGAAAACACAACTTCTTATTATCATCGATACCCTCCCCGAGGAAAAATTGATTCGCAATTTCACAACACTAGCTAGATGTGTAGAGAAAGCACATCGTCGAAATTAAAGTTATTATACTAATGTTTGTTGAAAAATAATTCAAGTTCAAGGTTAAGTTATTTGTTTGCATTCATTTGGATCATCGACATATATTGGTGCAAAAGACAAACTGATGCAAGGTGTCAATGTACGCAACGGTTAAATTCGACAATCTACTCTACATAAAATAACGGTTTCCCGTTTACTGTTATTGAGTTATTCAGTGTATACAGACGCAGAGCGTTCCATGCCCACCAATGGACTTTCGACATCTGGCGGCGACGACGATTAAACACTTTTAAAACCTTATGCCTATGCTGCTCCGTCATGTTCCAATTATCGGTTTCCGTTTCAACGATTGCAAAGAACAGTCTGGAGGACCCAAAAAGTTCGAAGACAATGAAATGCAAGATTTTTTGGAGGAAAACCTCGCTTAAACTGTCAAAAAACTTGAATTGACTGAAAATGCGATTTCGAACAGTTTCAACATCGCGGTTTCATTGCTTCCCAGGCAAAGAACAGTTTTCTGTACCGTATTGTGACTGGCGATGAAAAGTGGATGTACTACGGCAATTCCAAGCGCAAAAAGGCTTTCGTTTAGTCCGCGAAAACCACCCACATTGACACCGCAGCGGAATATTCACCGCCACAAAATTTTTGCTGTGCCTGTGATGGGATCAGCAAACGATAGGGTATTACGACCTGCTAAAACCGAATGAAACTGTTACTGCAGAAGTCTGTCGACCTCAATTGAACAAAGCGAGCAAATGGAGTTGTGAAGGACACACTCCTTCCAGTCTGACAAACATGGTGTCTTCTGACTACCACGTATCGAGATTAACGCATTGCTTGCCTGGCCGTTTCGAAATGCTGAAGAATTGCGAAAGGAGGTCGATGATTGGATCGCTGCCAAAGTAATATCGTTCTTTCGACGTTCTATTGCCAGAAATATGAAAATAAGTTGTAGAAAATTACGGAAAATATTTAGATCAGTTTATATTGTACCAATTTTGCTCAATAAATGCGTTTTTCAAATGAAAAGATGATCAAAATACATGCAAGTACATAATAGTTAACAAAAGTAGGCAAAAAGGCTTGGACGACTGACGTTTCTGTGCAACGTTACGTCGTCTAATCAACTGTTCGCTATATCCATTGTTCTCCTTTGCTGTCTACTGCTTTTCTAGGCGTTTGCATTTTACTTACATAGATTATGAAAGATAAGTAAGAATACTTTTGTGGTGGGTTGGGATTGATTTCTTGGGAAATGAAAAAAAAAACTAAATAGTGCCGAAATATACAATCGTGGTACGAATAGTTACGAAGTTACGATCTACTAGAAGTTTTCCGGAGGAACAAAAATTAGTGCAAAATGTTAATAGTAAAACGATTGACCACATCACTTATACCAGGCATGGGCAACTTTCGGCCCGCGCTCCGCATGCGGAATGAAGTCTTGTTGCAGAACCGCTACTAACCGCTAAGTCAACTTGATCCGGAGATATTCGTTTTTGATGGACACAGAGACCGAATGTAACCTCAGCGTTGACCAGCCAACTCTTTCGAAAAATTTTCTAGAGAGCTTGCTTAATCAACTAATAGAAAAAGCCTCAAATAACAATATTTATTGCAATTTTTATGTATTCGCCTGGAGGTGGCGGTTGTTGAAGATTTATACCCCAAGCCACCTATTTTTCTTTTTTTTTTTCATTACACACTGTCTATTCTTTAAAGTTAAACTCAGACATCTTGTTTGCTCAAGAGTGTGTTTACTTTGTAAAATTATTTCCGTTTACTTGACTTTGTTGAATAATCAATATTTAACAGAATTAAATGGCGAAACACAAGTATGGAGCAGCAAATTATTTTAAAGGTACAACAGAAAACTGTCACAATAACGCTATCATAAAAGTTGGAAAGGAAATATGTAAAGGAAAATGACTGATGTTTATGCATACCTGTAACGATTTATCATGTTTAACACAAACCTGTAAATCTGTTACAAGCTTCAAGTGATGGCTAATTTTATTATTTTGAGTGGAGGTTAATTTTACATGAAATTTATTGTGTGAATTTATACTCGCTTTGCTTGTGCCAGACTTCGCACTATACAAATATGGATAATAATTGAAAGCAATGCCAAACGAAATTGAAGCTAAAATCTCAGATTTGCGAAAAAGAGAAAAAATTGCATTTTCAACAACTGCAAAAATTTAAGCTTAGCTTAAATAATGAACTTTGCAAATTTATGCATCAAAGTGTATCCAATATGAGCCGTATTCGGGTGAACACAATATGCGATAAATTTGTTTATTATTTGAATAACTTACAACATCGTCAGTGTGATATAGATTTACATAGAATGAGTAAAGTAGAAAAGAAAAATAAAAAGAACTTGAAAACCGAAATTATTCACTATATCCATCACACATGCATATGTGATACATACGCATTATACATTAAGGAGTAACTGCGCTGTAACGCCTCGTGCTTTTTTATTTATTTCACTAAAAGATATTGTTAACAAAAACTAATCTAACATGTCGTGACGCCCACTCTAATTATTTTAGAATTAACCCACTTAGCTTGTTGCCTTCTACGCTCCAAGCCCTTCCATTTGGTACCCATATCGCTGGTATTGTTAAGAAAAAGCTAATCCACCAGGTCGTGGTCCAGCTCCACCATATTTATTATAGCATTAATAGGATTAATAATTAATTTTTAGTCAGATAATATATCTTCATTTGAGGAATGCACAAAACAATTTTAAACATTTTGTCTTGTTTATCTTATGATTAGAGCCGATAGCCTGTGTTGCTAGTGCTCAATGTCTTTTTTTTTTTTAGACTAAGAATTCAATTCATTAGTCTAAAATTAAAATAATAATAATAATAATATCTTATGATTAATAAGCATAAAAAAGTGAGAATTTTTTCTTTGTGTTTGACTTTGTGTGTGCACGGGCGATTTTTCCAATTTTTGCACATAAATAGTAGAGTTTTTCGAAAAGTGAATGTGGAAAATTTCAGCCTTCTATCTTTCATAATTGCTAAGTGACGAGCAAAAACCGATAAATATTTGGTTTAGGAAAACGAAGTTACGTTCTGTTTACGCTTCATTGCGGGCTTGTGCTCTGACCAATTTGGCTCATTTTCGGTATCAACCTTCGAGGGAAGACTTCCAATTCTTCTACCAAATTTGAAGTCGATATATTCATTTTTGCAAGCAGGAGAGTGCCACACACAGACGGACAGACGAGCCTAATTAAATTCACGATTTCACGCAAATCAAGTAAATATATATACTTCATAGGATCTCTGAAGCATCCTTTTGGGTGTTGCAAGCATTCTCATAAAATGAATATTTCCTCCATCCTTCACTGGTTGATGGCTATAATTAATAATAGGCGGTTAAGCGCATATTTAAGTATTCAACAAAAGAAATATTTATGAAAAATATAAAAAAATGCCAACAACGGAGCCATTCTCGCGAGGCGTTTTCAATTAAATGAGCTCTGAGCTAACGGAACTTTTTCTCTGCCAGCAAATGTAAAAGGCCATGGGCCTAATCTTAAAATTCTCATACACTCACTCGTTAACTACCCTGCGTAAACTGTCTTCCTTTTATGTACGTGGCTTATAGACACTTCTGTTCGATAATTGGAATAATCCATGATCAAACCGATCCAGGTCAGCATAATAAACAATGTAGTCGTCAATGAGAAAGTCTCAATAAAAAACCTAAACTCTGTGGTCCGCATCTATTTTGATGTGAATTGGACTAAAAGAAAAACACACATTTGACTAATTTTTTACAATCCTTGAGGTAGACATTAATGAAGAGAATCGGTTTTCTTTTAAGATGTTTACTTGAACAAGACTTCGATGGATTAGATGACAAATTGTTTAATTAACGTATTTTCGTCTGGAATCGCTTTTAAATCAACATGAGTGCTTTCTAAAGACATATGCCTGTAACGAACGTTTGTTCGCGCATTTTGGAAGAGTCAAAGCAATTTTAATAGTTGCTTACTTCGATTTAATGCCTACAAAAAAAAAAAAAAATGTAGATTGATTTCTGAAAAATTTTCAATGGCAATGAACTATTGTTGCATAGTCTACATAAGGAATTAAATGAATGAAATGAATTTAAAGCTGAATACTTTTTAGACTAGTTTAATAGCAGCCAATAAAGCAAATGTTCAAACATTGTTCGTGTAAATGAATTTTTAAATTTCTTCGTTAAACTTAGATTTGTTTGTGTGAATGCACACAGTTCTCTAGAACTGGCCCATTCATCATTCTTGTAAAAATTTGCATATGGTTGTAAAATATTTATGTAGAGCAGTGTGCACTAAACTAATGGTGTTTTTCTTCTTTATTTTTCTTAAGATAATATGTTGTTGTTACTTTTGTTTCTTAGTGTGCTAATGTAAAGTTTTTAGGGTAGTTGTGTAATGTTACGAAAAAAAAACAACAACGGAGAAATGGGAATTTAGTTTTAGAAGGATTCTAAGAATAATAAAACAATATAAGTTCATAAATTCGTAAAACACCTCTTCCATTAAGATTTTATGACTTGAAAGATTTGAAATTA